CTGAGCCATACCTCTTGCAGTTTAGTTTTAGTTTTTTGTTCCCGCAACGTTCCACGACACGACTGCGATCATTGTTACGGCGTAGATCATTGCAACGCACTAAATACAACGTTGCGGCCTCTACAGTGACGACCTCTCTTCTACATGGTTGTTGGAATTTCATCCGGTTGATGGCCTCTACATGGTTGCCGGAATGTAGGGTACGCCAACCCTCCCCGCAAAGCGCCCCGCCTCCCCAAAACTAAGATAAAATCCGGCTGATCCGGGGCAGCCCGAAGGGAGGATGAAGAAAGAAAGAAAGAGGATAAAGAAACTGGGATACCTGACACCTGGCAGTACGGCCGTTTGTAAAAGTTTGTGCAACTAAGCGAGTCGATTACTCAGGACTCAACGCCATGACTTCGCCGAGCTGGTGCTATTCCTCAGGACTGATCCGCAAGGATTTCAACGTCACTTCCTTGAAAGAAAGAAGTTCACTTAAACAGCCTTCGAGTCTATCCATAAACCTCATCCAAAGACGTTCAATGGATCGATAGCCATCATCTCCGGCAGCATCAAGGCGGCTCCCCACTTCACATTTTCAAATTCCAATTCTTTCAAAGACGAGCTCTGGATCAAAGCCTTGACAGGTTTCAAACGGTCTCTTGATCCATGTCGTCTATACCGTTGGAATTGCCGCCGAATCTCAACGTTTCTAATCGGATAGCACTGTTGATCATATAAGCCACATGCTTCACCGCACTCGAGTCGTCCCATGCGTTATATAGTTCTAAAGACTTGAGGTTAGATTCAAAATATCCTACTAGTCCTGAGGCGAGATTCAAGAAACATCTGGAGATCAATCTGCAATTGTCCATTGTCAAATCTGCTACGCTAGAGGAATTCAAAATTATCCCCATATGTGAACACAAGCTCTCCACTTCCGCATCTGAACTCCATTTCAAATTACAAACGCTTATCACTCGTAGAACGGTGCTATTTGAATACTCTCAAAACTAACTCCCACTCGCTTTCAACTGGATATATCTCCGCCACAAATACCTTCCACGTTAAGAAACTCAAGGGTATTGCAGCTGCCAATTGCCTCCAGCACTCGAAGTCGCAATTTGCTTCGCCACCCCATGATCGTCGAGAGCGATACACTAATCGAAAAGTACTCCTGAAATTCTGGCCCGCTTAAACTAACCCGCCGAATAGGCTCGTCTCTTCCTTCCAGACGCAGAAATTCTTTCCCACTTAATTTAACCCGCCGAACAGACTCGGCTATGCCTTCCAGACGCCGTATAAGGTCCTGGACAGCGGAGAGAATCTCCGGGTCCCCGTGTTTCAGGAGTCCATTCCTCGTGTTTCAGGAGCGTGACTGACATTTGACGCAACTGCATCTTCCATTCTCTCCTCCACTCTCACATGGGAAGAAAGGTATCCTGCTTGGCATGTGCGAGCAAAATGTAATCCCTCCTACATGAGGGATGTTTGGTGCAAGTGGACTGCCAAAGCTCAATCCTGGTGAGACTCGGCTACCAGGACATTGCATCCATGTCTGCTCATACCACTGCTGATATGCGGTGATACAATCTTCTGGTGTTTGTATGAATATTTGGTTGGATGGTCTCTTCTGTGGTCTCTTTGTTAAGGATGTTTCTTTGTTAAGGATGTTTCTTTGTTAAGGATGTTTTGGTGTGTTTTGTGTCGTCACCTCCGTCCATGCTCCATATTGTTGATCCTGGCATTCGGCTGGGTCGCTTCAATGCTTATGATGGACAGCGATCTTTACATCCTCATCTCAAGCCCAAAATATTCAATGGACAATACGTTATCTCGCCATGAGAAATTAGAGTTCTTAAGTGTCTCACGATTATGAGGCAAGGAATCACCTCTTGCGAACCCTGACTTTCGTGCACGTGAGAAAATCTTTCGATGCTGATGTATTTTTGTGCAATCTCTACTTTTTGTTTTGTTACGTCAAAGCAAGCAATTCTATTATCTGGCCACATCTTCTCTCCATCGCTGACAGTTTCACCAGCCTCGTCCTTTCTTCTGTTCTGATTGCGTGGAATTTGTTTCTTCCCGATTTAATTGCTACATTATGCGGTCACATCAAGTCTTCTTCTTCTTTTGTGCACACCGAAGACATAAGCATAAGTACAAGCACCTAGTATGTGCTACTCCTGTTACTTCGAAAGCAGTCGAACTAGTTGACAAAATGTTTACCAAGAACTCCGGAATCTGCTAAAAGCCCTCATCGGAACAGGTGCAGAAGGAAAATCCTCACCACCTTTCTGCTTACCAAGCAGGTGAGGTTTAATTACTGTGCAGTGGAAATTGCAGAATCTGGTGCGGAAGTGGATTTCTAGTCACAATCTGCTCTTGCAATGAAAAACGCATTAAACAAGGAGGTGCTTCGAATTAGTGGACGGGTGCAAGCAATCCCCATCATTCGAATGGATGAAAGACACACATTTTTTATGATGAACCGCCCCGCCTACGTCAGAGGCATTTGACTCACAGGGTTGCTTGTTAAAATTCGTAAGAGTGGTACGAGTCCACTATGAGTGCAAATTTCATGCAGCCAGTACTGAATTGTTAAAACTACCTGGGACCACAGACAATACACTTCTTACGCATCTTGCGCGGCGTGGCTACCATCCACGGATAACAATACGAAGAAATGAGCAGGACATTATCGAAGCTGAAGCATTGATAATGGAACGTATCTTCTGGCTGCACGGAGCTTCGATCGACACTCGAGCGACTCCCTCGTCCCGTTACTTGCAAATCGATTCCGGAGGTGTTCGTCTCACTTTCATCATGTCGCCGAAAATTGATGTAACCCGAAATTTAGCTAATTTTCCAATTTTTCTTCATTTGTAATACTGGTAAATGCGGTAGACCTGGTTGCCCACTCTTTCGTCTAGAAGGAATGAGACTCTCGCCATCAAAGAACCTTCATATTAAAAACATGAAAATTTAGACCTTTGATTGTGCTTGAGAGTTGGATCATTTGTGATAATTAGCATATGACACTTTCAAATAATTCATCTTTAAATTATCAGAATGGCACACATGAGTTCTAGTTACTTGAATATCTTTTAAGCACTTGTGGTTGTTATCTGATTTAGATCGAAGTGACTTAAAATCTTATAAGCATCAGGATATGATGTAGAAACATAAAAACCCTTTTCTATTGAAAATTATAACTAGAGAGTGATCACATATAAGTAAAGTCGATTAGTAGTGAATAAACCTATAACTTCACTCACGTGGAGGGAAGTGTGATTATGTAGCGTTTATTGAGAATTATTCAGGATTTTTGTGATATATTTTCAACTCCTTTGTGTGAAAATGTAGATCCAATTTTTTAAACAACTTTGCAGATTATATGCTTTTGAGTTTTTTATAGTTACATTCATATAGGTATATCACAAACTAAGTTATTAAGGATAGAAAGATAACGGCAAGAGAAATACTTTGAATCAGTTCTAAAGTTAATACGAAGAAAAAAGTATTTCCTGTAGTTTGATCAATACTTCATAATCTAAGACTAGTTTTAAGAGTCACACATAATCACAGTAATGTGTAGTATGTTGAAACGAACCCTGCACTACAAGAATTTTTTAAGATATTATTTATATCCTAGAAGATTTGAATAAAACACTATATTTCAGATGCAACTTCATTCTTACATGGCTCGAATAGAGAAAGGAATTCAGTATTAATCATAAACCTCAAGAATATTTGGTTGTAAATTTATATGTAGACTAAGTTATATCTTACTTCAAGATTTCGTTGCTTGTAAAATGACGTATCTTCTGATGGGGTTATATCATTGAACGAAGGAGATATTTCTTTCGCTATTCGTAGTGACAAGGGGCACCCACACTGATCCTAAATGTGTATATGCTTCGCATATTTAATCAGTAACAGTGCAGCAAGGTAAATATATAGCTTTAGTCGAGTTTTGTAATCATCCCGATAATGTATTCCCCAGATCTGCATGGATTTCGATTTGCATGGTATTTTCTTCACAAAACACAACACAGATCAGTTCACTTGTGTTGTGGCAAACCACTTAACTTCACAGAACACAACACAGTCCAGTTCACTTGTGTTTGTTTGCAGAACAGTTCACTTTCACAAAACACAACACAATAGAAGGATATGTGCCGCCCACAAGTTCAAAGCAAGGTCTTTCCAAAGTATATGTATTTTGGATCTGTATTTTTGGATGTGTAACTTTTTCGATCGAAAGTCTCATCCTCTTTTCGTTGCACAACTCAAAGGTTCTCTTTTGTAATACAATGTCAGAAATTGCAAAATACCACCACGGACTGTTAACGTCCACTACCTATCGACTGAAAGCAGATTCGAACGACTACATACAAGAAATTTCAATCGTAAGGAAAGGTTCATATCATGTGACATATTCAGTGACGATTCAGAAGTTTACAGAGACCTTAAGACACATCGAGTGATGGAGCTAAGAATATCTGATCTGTTCTGGGTTTGCTGCGTGAACTCGTACCGATGTGGAAACCGATAACACAATCAGGAAAAGGAAAGTATTGAGGATGACGAGAGTTCAGGATACCTTCTCTAAACTTTCAAGATACTTTTAACCAATGCAGGCAGAGTTCTTGACAAGATCGCAGCACAGAACAGGGCTGTACCTGAGGAACAGATGAACGATAAAAAAAAATTCAAAACAAGAGTCATGGATGTCCATAACGTGAAGTACCGAGCATGTGTCTTCATCCAAATTTGAAGCTGTAATCTCTCATCGTAAGCTAAAGATGCTTTATGCTTTCTGTGGATTCATACTGGATTTTCATATGTGATCCTGAATTTGCGAATATGCTTAAGAGTTTTAAACTTGACACGAATTCGTAATCGTTACGTTGAGGGATAGAGGCATAACGTTGATAACCAATCAGTAGTGGACCGATGAAAGATCTGCAAGTATGCGTGATATGTCTTCTGAAGAGTGATACCTCGAGGGAAGGAAACGGAGTGGACAATGAGTGTGAATATCGTCGAGAGAAATTTGTGGGGGATGTAGAAAATTCAGACTTCGCTAGAGTTTCCATGAACATAATTGTCTGTCCGGATTGCAAGGGGACAGAGAATGTGACAGACTACGCCGCGGGGGATGTCGTCTGCATCGAGTGTGGGCTGGTTCTGGAGTCTCATTATGTGGACAACGCGCCGGAATGGCGTACGTTTGTGGACGGAGCGAAGGATCGAGACCAAGTTGGTGATTCGTACAATGACCTGCTACCAGACGGTGGCATCTCCACAACCTTGAGACACGTGAAGGGAAAATCCATTTCTTCGTCGCTCGAGCGTGCAGAATCTCGAGTTCCCGATGGGAACACCAGTCGGCTCCTGTCTAGGTTCGCCAGATGTGCTTCTATGGCTTCACGACTGGGTTTGGTCCCAAGCATTCAGACCAGAGCTTCCGAATACTATGAGAAGGTAACGAACCTGAATCTAGCTAAAGGGAAATATCAAGATGCCGGGCTGGTTTGCTGTTTGTACTTCGCGTGTCGTCAGGAAGGCATAACCCGCTCGCTACAGGAAATTTGCTCGGTTGCAGAAGGTACTTCGCGGAGGGAAGTAGCAAAAACTTTATTCCGCATCTTGAAACACATGAAGAAAGATCTGGGACTGGGCAGGTCCATCAATGCAACAGAATTCGTCAGTCGTTTCTGCTCACTGCTAGAGTTGGATTGTATAGCGAAATTAGCAGCCACAGAAATCGTCCTGATGGCTGACAACCGGCTTGACTTGAGGAGAAAGCCCAGTTCTGTGGCTGCCACTGCAATATTCATGGTTACCCACCTTCAAGAAGCAGGGAAGAGATCTATTGAAGAGATCATTAGAGTTTCTGGAGTGTGCAGAGTGACAATATGTGATACTTATGTAGAATTCCGCCGTCATGCCTCCATGATCATTCCGGCATGGTTTGCCAGCCACGAACAGCTCAGAGATCTTCCACCTCCTCGACCCAAACGACGATTTGCTAAATTAACAAAAGGAAAGTTGGAATCGGCTTCGCCCTCCACAACCACACCCCTCTCGACATGAGTTCCGAGTCCACAACAGAAAAGGAGAAATGGAGAATCTTCCTAACATGTCTCACCGCTGTCAAATCTAAGAGAATCATCTGGTTCGACTGCATGCACACTACGTGCATGCAATCCCATCAAATTATGTTCTTAGCAGCAGCACAAATTTAGGAGTAGTCTCTCCTATCCGCAAGAGGTTTGCAGTGAACCTTTTAGCTTGAACGTTTCATAACAAAGCGACAGGAGGCCATGAAGTAAAAGATGACTGCAGACATCGGCTCGACAACCAGCGCAATGGCTCTGAGAAACAAACACATCATCCTAAATCGCACTGCTGCGATCCAGGATGATGCAACTATGCTTACCTTGCAACTGGTTTCGTCAACTCGAGATATTACAATTTCTGTTACTGTACTTGACAATCATGCTTAAATCATAGCAAGATTTGGAGCATAATGTAAACATAGAAATTTTTCTTCCATGTTTTCATAAAAATAGGATTTTCACTAACAGCAAGTTTTACACTGAATCTCGTTTTCGCTACCGGCTATCTTTTGTTGTAATTAATTATAGATTCTGGCAACTATGTGAGATTTTATTATTTTGCTTGATGTGACTAGAGAGAAAGCACATACAGTCAGTTCATATGATATACACATGCTTCAATAAAAACTACTTGATGACCTCTATTTCGTCTTAAACACAGATTCAATTTCTTCACTATTTTTAGAATTGATGCACTCTCGTTTCTTTTCAAGATCCAAAAGCCCAAGCAAGGAAAATTTCTTCATCAAGATACCCAGATAATTCTTTGATCCAATCAACGCTCCAATTGAACATATATTATAATTTTTTCATTGTAATTTTTAGTATATTTTTTATCTAGTTTTGTATACGTGAACTTTGATCTACTTGACTTTTTGCTGGTGTACTAAAATTTCTAACACAAAACGTCATGTGCATATCGATATTCTTTTCACTTGCCTGCATTCATTACTACAATTATTTCAACATAGATTCAACTTTATAAAGTTGACCTTATTTATTAAATTCAAATTATCTACATCGAAAGATTTAGATATGAATTTTTTTATAATTTTTCTAAACATTACAGAAAAAAATTCGGAAATGTGTAGTATCTAGATGCTTAAGAAAATATAGTTTGATTCACTTAAAAAAGTTGTGTTATAAATAAAAAATCAAAAGAATGATTGTTTACTCTTTATTTTCAATCCTATCAAATGAGATTTAAATCTTAGATTTCCAAAATAAAAAAAGTATTTAGATAACTCGTCTAAACAAAACCAATAAAATTTTACATCAAATCACATAATGTCTTGTTTTCCAACTTAACTAATACTGTATGTAGTAAATGAGAACGTCTGACCTAGAAAGAGATACCTCAACTTCATAGAGTATATTTTATGTGATTTATCATGAAAATGTAAATTTGAATTCATATGATTTTATAATTTCAATATTGGAAAAAACGTTAAGCTTTGTTTAATCCATTTTCTCTTAACTCACAGTTCAAATTCAGAATTGATCGTTTGTATAATTCAAGTGGCTATACAAAGTAATCAACTCTTCGGAAAACATATGTTTCAGTTCCTCTATGAATATGGATGATCTATGATTAATAATTTTCAATGGCATGTGATATTGGTCTTCACTAAATCTGAAGTCAAAATTTGATATTTCCAAATAAAATATGCATGTCTTATAATCTTGGTTGATTGCAATGCACACAAAATTTTTAATTTCTTTATGTGGATTTTATCTTAGTATGATATTTAATTTGCAGCATTTATAATGACATCATGATCAACAATTGTATGTACTCAAGTATAAATGAAACATATGAAAATTTATTGCACTTACAATAGTCAAACATTAAATTATGAGTTATGAAAGTTTGAAATGACATTTGCTTTTGTTATACTTGATTAAAGATATCTAGATGTTTTGGGAAAGAAAAACTTATTATTATTTATTTATTAAGAACTTATTTTATGGTGTTTGATTGAAATAATGGGAGAAATTTGTATGATAATTGATCAATTATGTATCATGTCACTGCTGCAATTGACTTTGTCCATGAAACATCAAGAGCGCCTTACGGCCCCTTTCGAATAAATGGAACTCGGGAAAAAGTTATTGTCTACTCCATCGTTGTTGCAGTTTATTTGTTGGTGAAAACACTGGAGCTCTTGACCTTGCACAATTACTTCTATCATCACATTTGCAAATATATCTTTATAGTAAAACAAGTGAGGTTTATTTTCTAAAAGAATCTATCAGCCCCGCTCTTATTTGTTGGTTGGTAGGCTAAGCTAGAAGATTGATATTCTTGCAAAATCAAAACTATTGCATAGTTGTTGGTTTGTATCTGCATAAATTAATTAATCATATATATAAAATATATGTTATATCAATTTTAATCATAAATAAATAATAATTTTTATGCATTTAATATTTAACATATAAAATAATATATAAAGAAAATCAGATAAACATAGAATTGAACCTAATATCAAAATTTTGCATTAAAATTTTTTTATATAAAATTTTTAATGGGAAAAATATAATTTATAATTTCTAAGTAGGACTGACTAGCCAAAGTTGAAATGGGAGGGACTTCAACACTATACAGCTCTCAAATCAGATGCGTTTGCACCTAACGGAAAATAAATTTAGAGGATGCATATTGAAGGTGTTATTCACATACACCACAACACCACATAGTTATTCCATCACACACTAAATTAATATGAATTATTCATCTTTGGTATAAGTGATTTTTAAATAAGAGAAAAGAGGAACGAAAGAAGCAGAAGATAAAAGATGTAGAAAAAATTCTATTTTAGAAGTTCTTAGGGAGAACATTGCGGGAGTCAAAGGAGGAATGGAGGAATGCTGACAGAGAATTAAGACACTAACCTATTTGTTAAATCACTTGCCTAGCTCGCATAGTCCAAAGTGCCGCAATTCATACCGTTTGAGTTTCCGGCTCCAAGCCACGTCAGCACAGTTGCGGATTTGGGATGTCGCCGGATTCACCGGATCTGCCCTCCAGTAGACTCAACTTTCCGAACCGCGTTCACCGTTCCCGGCAAAGTTTGTAGCAAAAGTTCCATTTCAAACTTGGCGGGAAATGTATGCATGTCCGCGCGTGCAGGCTGGAGCTCGGAAATCCGATCGATCCGAGAGCAGAGTTGTGGTGGTCGAGCTCGTGGAGCGCAGCGCAGTGCTGTTCGGATCGTCTGGAATTGGAGGTTGCAAGCGGAATTTCGACCATGTTTGTGCATTGCGTGGGGCTGTAGATGGCCCACAAAGCTCAGCAGAGGATGTACATGAAGACTGCTGTCACTCTCAATGCAATCCGACGCCTCGATGATGTGGGATCGAGCAGCCACCGCATTCGGAAGATCTGTCATGAGAAGAGCGATCATCCTTTGTCTCGGATGCTTTTGTGGACTCCCTCGGATTTAAAGTGGTTGAATGTCGGCTGACCCTTCTCTCGAGCTGGAGAGGCGTGCCAGATTCGCCTCTTATGTTTCGTGTCCATGCAGTAGAACCGCGTGATTGCTGTCTCTGAATATCGAGCAATGGATCCTCCCGAGAAGGCGTCGTCTCTGTCGAGAATTCAGAGTTTGAAGACTGATTTGAAACAGTGGGAGCGAGACTTTCAGAAACAGAATGGCCGTGTACCTGCGAAACAGGATATTCAAGCTTGTCCATCCATACGTGAGTGTCATCCATCTCCGCTCAGCAAACCGGCATGAAGTTCGGATAGTGAATTGGCTGTAGAGACTTCCTGTCTTCAACCTCTCGTGCATGCTAAGACCGCAACTGAACGAGCCCCTCGTCATCTGATCTCAAGTTGTGTTCAGAAATGTGTGGCTTCTGACCTTCTCCGTGGTTATGACTTCTATACACAAGAAAATCTGTTTAGAAAAAAGTGTAGCTCGGCACTAGAAGGCTAATAGAACTCTACGCAGTCTTTCTTACTCTGATGAAGTCTCATCGCCGTAATTTACCTATAAATCTCACTTGAACATGTAACATCAGTCCGCTCAAACTTATTCCTGGGCCTCGGACTGTTCTTTCGACCTGCGGTTTAGATCGTCGACGCGAGCAGTCAGCTCACCATTTGGTTCATGGTTCTCTTGTGAAACGTTTTGACCAGGGACTCATCCTTTCCTCAAGCCTGAAGTCTAATTATGCCTGTGAGCATAACGAATCAAAGTTGCTTGTGTCTCTCTCGCGAATGCAGGGTCTCTGTATCTAGAGTATGGACGCTTGAAGCAGAGTGTTCAAAAGGAGAACGGGGCCGAGAAGATCAACAGCGAACGATCGAAGGTTGGAGTAGCGTATGGAAAGGAAAACTCATGGAGTGGTCTCTCGGTATGTTGAATCTCCACGACTTCGTTCTCTGATACTGCTCCTCTCGAGGTTTCATGTATGCACGTTTTGAATGACTACAATTTGGTTGCAGGGAGGAGGCAAAAGTACGCCCAACAACTCTTCGTCAATATCTTCAACCCCCGAAACTTTCTTAAGGTCCCAGTCACTGCAGATCGCAGAGCAGCGTGAGCGCAGGGCCGAACCAGTTATGCATCCGCCGGATTACAGCCGCCTGATTTTCCCCGCCAAGCCTTCGAACTCAGACGACTCGGAGGACGGGTCGTACATATCAGCTACACCACCGAAGCGTGTTGGACCGAAGGTTGAGCAGCAATCTACTCCAATCTCGTCGTTTCGCCCTTTGAGAAGACCTCTTCTAGATATATCTAGCCAACAGAACGAGAGTAGCAGGGCTCCTGCGTCATCACAAAATGTTCCATCCCAGAGCTCCAGCGTTTTGAAGGTACCTGATAGGATCAAGAGGAAGGCTCCGGAAATGGATGCCGTGAAGACAATTCCCCCGAAAATTGCTGTCTACACTTCGAACCGAATTCAGTCCAGGGTAGAAAACTCCTCGCCTCTAGCTGAACTTCCTCAAGTTCCGGGCTTTGTCATCAAACGCCGTCGTCCTGGCATGCACTTTGAGGAGTCAAATTTCGCTTGCGAGCACGAAGCACTTCCAGCGGGATTTTCAGCTAGTGTTATGGGTTCCAGTTTGATAAGGAAGGAGTACCAGAATCCCAGCGATTCAGTGAATGATAGTTCTAAAGCAGAAGTTGAGAGCAGAGCAGGCGGAGAATCAGCAACGTTTGACACTCTTATATTATCACCAGCCTTGGGCACAGAGACTGAGACTGGAGATAGCAGAGAAAGTCTCACAGCGGTAAGCAATATCTCGCAAATTGATCCAGAGGCAATTCATTGTGCTCCGGAGCCGCAAAGTGGATCTATTGCAGCCACTCAACCCCTGTCGAGTGACAGTGAATCAGTTGAGTTCGTTCATGATAGCCATTCACCACTACACAATAAGGTGGATGCTTCTCCTACAGTCCAAGATCTAGACAGAGATTTGTCAGGGAAAGCCCTTCAGAAGTTGACTGTCGTGGTTCTAAAACAGATGCTCCTCAAGCGGGGCCTTTCCTTGGTCGGTAACAAAGCAACTCTGATTTCGCGCCTCAGTGCAGCCTTAGATAGCCAAGGATCGTGCAATGGCTCCCGTGTAGAGATCGTGGAGGGGAGCATACGTGGAAAGAAACAAAAGGAGAAGGTGGCAGGAGCGTGTGAACCTGTCGAGGAGACGAAGCTGAACACGTCGAGTAAAGGAGAAGAGGAGGGATCTCACTTCAATGCGGAAGGAGGTGATGTGGAGTTATCTCATTGTTCGAGATCTTCCATTAATTTGAGAAGTGGTAAAGTAGTCACTCTCACTTCCACAACATCCATCAGAACGAGAACTAGAAGTGGAAGATCTGCAGTCAGGTCAGAAGAAACTCTCCTATCTTCCTCAGAGAAGACTCAACACAAACATCATCCAGGTGATAACCATGCTCCGAGCTCAATCGCTTCAAGCAAAGCTGTGAGGAAGAGGTCCCGAGAAGACGCAGTTCCTCCTGTCGTCCTGCAGAATGCATCATGCGAGAGTACAACTACGAGCTGTGATGAGTACCCGTCGGCTGACCTCTCGTTTCGAGAGAAGACTGATTCGTCAAAGTCAGTGCCAGTTGTCTCAATTGGCGATGTCAACAACATGCCCTCCACGACCAGCAGTAAAAGAACCAAATGTGATAAGCCAAGTGAGGAGTTCTCGTGGGCAAAGCCAAAGGCGCTTCAAAGACGGTCCACCACTCAGAAGACCAAAACCATTTCTACCAGAATCTCACATCCGAATAGAGTTCACACCCAGGCCGTGAAGCCCGGTGAAAGGAACAACTTTGTGAAACTGAATTTGAATGGAAGGGGTGGCGGAAGACGCAAGTTTGTCAACAAAACACGCTTTAAAAAGCCTGGAGCATATGGTCGAAGAGGGTTTCGCGGGAAGAAGAGTCGGAAGCCTGCTTTGGATGAGGACAATGATGCTTTGGAGCAAGACCACTTGCATGCAGATGAAGTTGACAATGCCGGTGGCTCCGAGAAAAAGGGCTCAAGGTCTAACAGGACCAGATTTGCTGTGAGAGACATTGACATTTGCGCTAAAGCTGGATTTACTGTAGCCGACCCCGTCGAAGACTCGAAGATTGATCTGCCTCCTGGGCTTTCTGAGGTGTTGGAAAGGGTGCTGCATAATCCTTCAAATGAGAACTTGCTGGAAGTTCTTGATATGGCGTTTGGATTCAAGGCCTTTCGAGCAGGCCAGCTGGAAGCAACCAAGCGCATCCTGGCCTTGCAGTCCACTATGGTCATGCTTCCAACTGGGGCCGGGAAGTCTTTATGCTACCAGGTTTGAAACTTTCTGTGTGGCTTCCAAAATGGTTAGAGCCATCGGTATCGATAGCTCCATTATGCAGCTTGTATTGCCAACTGTGGACAATCTTGCATTACTCTCTTTCTACTCATAACAGTAGCCTGAACATCACATTGATTGTTGTGGAAAGTGCTTAAATGTGGGCACCAGATTTACAGTGCCTACCCTTGTCAAAGAGTTGCCTTCAATTTCATCTGACGTTTTAACTCGCTTGCACAAGTGTGAACTCATCTGATACGAGAATTTGAAGGAACACCCTCCCTGGTTGGTTGATTATTTTGGCAAACCCTTGACCCTCACTTCACACAATGAGCAGAGCTCCGAGCATGCTTGTTGTTGCCGACCAGAAGGCGAAAGGCTAACCATCTGGCTTTCTTTTCTTGGTTCCAGCTCCCAGCACTCATTTTGCCTGGCGTGACACTGGTTATCAGTCCCTTGATAGCACTTATGACTGATCAGCTCCGTCACCTTCCACCATCATTGCCAGGAGCTTTAATGAGCAGTGCGCAGGTAAATCCCAGTTGTAGGCAGATTTGACTCTAGGCAGGGATACTGCGTGGTGCAGGTCTAGATATCTGCAAGTTTTTATTGTTGTGTTGTTGGACGTTTGCTCACAGCTGACCTGTAATTTGACACACTACATAACTTGCATGTAAACCTTGCAGTCACACTGCTTCTGAGCCTGTCTGCATGCCACTGTAAAATCAAGAGCTTATTATGGCATCTTGAAAATCTCCATGTAGCAGGCTCTCGAGGGTAAATGTATGGACACTAACCAAGCGGATCTCAACACGTTGTCTTATGCCATCTCGTGTTCAAATCTAACAATTTTACCACCATTATTGGCAGACATCGCAGGAAAGCAGCAGCACAGTTGCTCGTCTTCGAGCCGGTCTAGTCAAGGTAAAGCTCTTTGAGCTGGTCAGTAAACTGGTTTGAACTACCTACTATATACTGCTACTTGTGTTGTGGAGCTACGTCCAGCTTTGTTCATCAGTGAAAAAAACTCTTGCTTGAGTTGAAGTTCTCACTATCAAGCCACCATAAGTCATGAGAAACAAGAATGCTATCAAATTACACCTGGTCTACAACTTCAAGACTTCGAGGTTCTTACTGTGAAGCCACCACATGCAGGGGATTTTAGCTCTTTCGTGAGGAAAATAAGATTGTATTCGACTCTATTCCGGAAAGCATCAATCCGTTGTTCTGTTTTGCTTTCGTTGTAGGTGCTTTTCATATCCCCCGAGAGACTGTGCAGTGAAAGCTTTCAACGTATTTTGGCGGAAATTCCCAAAATAAGCCTGGCAGTCGTCGATGAAGCGCATTGTCTGTCAGAATGGTATGTGCCATTTCTCTGTCCTTACACGTCATGGAAGTGCTGTGCCTCGCAGTCCTATTGGAATGCCGGTATTATACTCTGCGCAGATCAACGCTCATTCGTTTGCTGACTCAGAATCATATGTAGAATGAATGAGGCGTATTCACTGTATTCAGCAAGGCCTTTGTTTCTATTCAATCTATGTTGCGTCCTGGTTGTATACCCAGTGATTATTCGTTCTGTGTCAAGCAGGTCTCACAACTTTAGGCCATCATACTTTAGGCTGGGAAGTATATTAATGGAGCAAATGAAGGTTCCGTGCGTTCTTGCTATGACTGCTACCGCCACGAAGAAAGCTGAACGCTCAATAATGGAAGCTTTGCGTATACCCGATGCGGGTGTAGTGCAAGCTCCTCGTGTGCGCGACAATCTTGTACTTACGGTTTCTCAGGAATCAAACAGGCTAGTAGATCAAAGCCAACCTTGATAATTACTGCTGAAGCTTACAATTCAAGCGTGCTCTTCACTTCGACAGGAGTGAAGAACAGAGGACGCACTTAGGTTGTATACGAAGGTCTCTCTTCTTGAGCTTCATTCGCCCCTTAGTCTGTCAAAAAGTCAGTCTATCGCTCATCTTGTTTTAGAGAGCTCACGTGATCTTGTCATCTGTTCCTCAGGCTCAGAGCTCTCCTATCAATGCTGCAAGAAAAGCCATACTCTGAGGCTCGAAGTATAATAATCTACTGCACTTTTCAGGTATTCAAAGTGCATCAATATGTCACGTATGTACTAGTACATGCATCTCCTCCGCAGTAAGGCTCCAAGTAATTGCTTGGAATAAGTTTGTCCATTCCTAACAAAATTAGATTCTTTAGCTCGCTGCTACGTCATACATTTAACATTTTGCAGTAAAGTACAGCTATGGGTAACCTATCTCTACCTTTCAGTAATTGCCACTGGATAAAGGGTGTTTTAAATGAGGTTCGGTAACTGTGAAGCTTGCGATGTAGGTGTATGATCTAATTCAGTGCAAATTGGACAGGTGGAAGCTGACAACATTAGCGATTTTTTGCAGCAGAATGGGATTCAAGCAAAGGTACAGATTGGCTCTCTTTTTCCACTACCCGGCATAGATGATTCGATTTTTCAGGTTCGCTTATTGAGTGTCACTGACTTGGTGATGTTTAAATTTCAGAGCTACCACGCGAAGAAGACAAGCCAAGAACGCAGCCGTATTTTTGACCAGTTTTGCAGTAACAGGCTAAGAGTGGTAAGCCCTTGGCGTCCTAATATATGTGCTCGAAATAATTTTCATTTTTTTCTTGCTTAGATATGCTCACTAGTTCCTTAATGTTCTTTGCAGGTGGTGGCAACCGTTGCTTTTGGAATGGGCCTCGACAAAAGCGACGTTAGGGCAGTAAGTCATATAGCCCTCTTAGTTATGTGCTCATTTCAGTTGCCTAGTTTTAGAAGTTCAAGAAGTCATTATTGTTATTGTTAACATCATTGTTAGTTTTCGGCGTCTACACATCACACTGCTCTTATTGCCGAGTTACTTTCTGGGAAGTAGGATGTGGCCAAACCTCTGCTTTTCTCCTAATCACTTTACGTGTCTACTTAGTTGCTTGAGACTTCTGGAAAGTTCCTCTTAACGTATTGTAGACAGATTTACCTTGATTACTTTTGTTTGAAACGAGACGGGCAATTCTGCACGTCCTAACCACGATGTTACTTGCTTTAAAATCACGTCGCGAATGTCTGGGTGCAGGTCATCCATTACAATATGCCTCGCAGTTTGGAACATTATGTCCAGGTTAGTCCACAACTGGCCTTCGTATGCCAATCTCAGCTTCTGATTGAAACCTCCAAAATATATGTACACTGGCATTACTCATTACTGATTCCAACCGAGTCTAAACCTGTGCTCCGTACCACCCAAATATGTACAATGTTTTGTTGCTAAATACCTATTTCTTGGGAACAATGTAGGAGACAGGCCGGGCTGGTCGTGATGGAAAAGCAGCAAATTGCCATCTCTTCCTAGATGATAACGACTTCTTAAAGCTCCGGAGTCTCGCCCACAGGTTTGTGTTAGATACAATGCCGCATTTGCTTGCCCATCGGGATAGGTACACGAATTCGTTTGTCCAGGATGGGAATAACCAACCAATTTTTGCTCAAAAGTTACGTTCAAGGATTATTTGATGCCCTGAGGATTCCGAAAGCCTAACTTTTGCGTAACAACGTCCGGTTCAGTAAGCGAAGAGAATTGCTCTACCCCGAGCTTACGGAATGTAAGGTGGAGGTTCTCTCTGTGAACTAAGAGAGACACCTAGTTTAACATCCATGAAATATCTGTTTTCTCGTACGCAGTGAGGGAGTGGATGAATATGCTGTCGGCAAAGTTTTGTCTCGAATTTTCAGTGGTAAACAGGAGTCATCAAAAGTCGGCAATCCGTCTTCAATTATCATCGAGACAGCTACCAAAGAATTTGACATCAAAGAAGAGGTATTGAATGATTACGAATGGCTTAGATTTTGACTGCTTTGCTATCATCCCAACCAGACTCATCGAAATAGTGAAAATGTATAATCATGTCATTTTTTCCCGCTTGGATCTTAGTAGCTTCATGGCATATGCGCTGTCGTCTACGTGCATGAAATGCATCAGACTAGTACTTGGACTCAGTGCGAAAACCTTGCAAATTCATGAGAAACGCATGAATACCATTCTAATTATGTATTTTTATGAGCCATGAAGCTCTCAGCTTATTAGGGAACTTCACGATTCTCACATACTGACATCTAACCTTATCCTATTTCGCCTTCTGTAGTTGCTTGGCGAAACTTTAGGTGACTGCATCTCGACTGTTAAACCAAAGTCTTCGTTCAAACCTTCTTAGAATAGCTTGTCATTAACTGTACTTCTGTCCCCCCTCCGCAGGTTCTTGAGACAGTTCTATCATATCTAGAAGTTGGAGATGTTCAGTACGTAAAATCTGTATCGAAGATGAATGTAACATGTACACTCAGCTTCCACCGAAGCTCTCCAGCTTCATTAGCGGAAAGGAGCAGTCATGTTACTGCGATTTTGAGGAGGTGAGCGCAAGTGGTACCCTGCTTCAAGATGCACATGCACATGTAGTTAAGTGCAGTGTCTTTGAGTTCATATCATGTATGACCACTGGCATGTCTCCACTCCCATTAGATTCGGTTCCCATGGGTAGTTGGAACAGACGATAATTCTACTGCAGGTTACCTGGTGTAAGTCCTCTTCATGTGGGTGATATATACTCACAAATTTGTGACTGTAAACTCCAGGAGTCAGGAAAAGCAAGGGAGATACAGTTTTGACTTGCTGGCTCTCGCAACTCATCTTCAAATTTCTATTTTTGATATGCAATTCGAGCTTCGAAGACTCCAGGTGATTTTTGCGGATCTTCATTGAGTCAAATTCTGATCTATTCTAGTTTCCTGAATAGGCAAGCGACCCAGTTATTGGATGACTTGGAACTGGATATAACAGCAATGCAGTCATAGTTAGAGGCAATGCGCTTCGGATTTCCGAATCATAAAAGTCTGTAGGTAGCATGAAAATTTTATCCCAAATTTCAGCGTATTGAATTTGGCTGTCTCTTTCTACTCCTGCAACCGAAGATCCCTAGTGTCCTGAATGACTGGATGCTGTACAGAGCGCTGGAGAGATTACCTGTGAGTATGGTGACCCAGCTCTGTGCTTCACTGTCACGAAATTTCCTGAAGATATCCGCGTCCTTACATCCGCGATAACAAAACGGCTGAATGGCGTTGAGAACTGCAAGGTGAGGTCTTCGTCGAATTCTCTTGGCTTTTAGAAACCTCTAGATTTTTGGTTGTGTTTTGCCCAAGTGCCAGTATCTTCACATTTGCGACGCATCTTTCCTTCTCACCTTTTCTTCCTCAACATGCAGGTGAAGAAGGTTGATGCCATGTACGCTGCCGCACTTGCTGCAGTCCGGATGAGGAGTGAAGGGGCGTTCGACGAGAGCATTTCATCGTTGTCTTCGGAACAGGCGTCGTTTCAAAACACCATCAAGATGTACTTCGATGAAGACGAAGGCTCCCTTCCTTCTCCAGACTTGCCTAGTGTCATCCAGCCTAACAGGTCAGAGGAAACTTGATATCCCTTTCATACACGCCCGTTGTGATATCGCTCTAGATATATTCTTTCTCTCACAAAAGCGACGTACAAGAACTTGTAATGCTGGATCTCGACGGCTTATTTGGTGCTTTTGCATCTCTCTCCTATTAGTATAGTATCTTCATCGTGCCCAGCAATAAACATCTTCATTATATCTCAAATGATAATTAAACTTATGCTTTGTTTTCAATGCAGAAACTTTCTCCGGGCCGATATCAAGGTATTTGAATATGATCTGAACTTCCACATCAATCCGAATAACTTCCACGTTTATATTATTCAAAAGTCTCAGTCTTCATAATTGAAACTGTGATCGTGACGAACCTATGCATCTGACTTGGTTTGACTCTTCGATTTGTAGGATTTCGTCCGAACCAACAAGCATGTCAACCTGACGGGAAGAGCTGTTGCTCGTATATTTTATGGCATCTGGAGTCCAGCATATCCTTACTCGGACTGGTGTAAGAATCATTCATGGTAAGAGGAGTGCGTCTGAGTTTTTTTTCTTCTCATTGACTGCCGATGACGTAGCCTTCGATGTGATGTTGAAACTTTTCTTGTCAAAGGCAAACAAAAGAATGCAGTCTCTTCTAACTACAGCTTCACTAGCTTAATTCGCGTATGTGGCTTTAACATCGTTATCCTTAAATGGCCGGATTTGTTCACGTCTGGTGAGTACTTGGCTTTCAGGGGTAAATACGAGGGAGTAGATTTTGGAGCAATCAAAGAGATTGCGACAGCAGAGTTGCTGGCGCAACATTCTGCCACCCGACTGCTGCAGAGCTCAGAATACTAAAATCCTCGGAGCACGGTGTGAACTTGGAGTCAAAGATGTGACTTCTACGTTTACGATTGTTTTCAAGGTATCAGTTTCGTGATGTTTTAAAAGGTATATGTAACACAGTTCTCTCCTCGAAAGGAAGGCGAGAAAACAGGAGCATATGTCTGCTTTTTGTAAATGTAGCGGTTTCTTAATCTGTACAGCCCAGAACTGGTAGTCTATCTTTCCAATGAGTGACATTTTTTTCACTGCTGGAAACTCGTTTAAGCAACTCGTTTAAACATTCAGCAACCTACGGGAACGTTTTTCTTAGCCAGGCGTTATCCTGGAAAAGATCAAGTAGACACAGCTAGTGGTCCATCATCTTACGCAGTAGTCTTGTAATTTGTAACACTGTTGACAGATGCTAAGCTGTGGACCTCTATCCTACGCAGGAGCAAGTGTATAAAAGCTCCAGATTAACCCCCCTGAATTAAGTGGGGAGGACGAAACTCAGATTGCAGTAAAATGAAGAAATATTACACTACCGATAAGTGGCTGTGCGCATACTTGTAGTTAGTTTCACTAGGAGTGTCTCGCGGGTGAAAAGTTAACGCTTCAAATTTCGTCGCGGTATTTCGAACTTTCTTACGAGGGCACTATCGAAGGCCTCATTGAAGGATACTGCCAGAATGTGGTCACACGCAAAGGCCACTTATTTTAAAACTCGTGGCAATGACAAGCATGTCTTCCACTATCAACCAAATCCTCATCTCTGTTTACACACATCGGCGGCCCAGAACGCACCCGCGATGGAGTTGAGATAAGGACGAAAGCGAGATCTACTAACTGAACTGAGGCGCTCGATGTCACTTGAAGGCGTTCCTTGTGCGCAGCTGCGTGCTGCTCTCTATTTATCTGATACTGAATCTCGATTACATACTGTTCGGAATTCCTTCCATTGACATCGCGTGTACTGCCCTCTGTATGTGCCTGGATATCTCGTGAGACTGGGTCACGACGCAAAACATGTAATCCGCCCGAGCACCCCTTGCACTTGTCCAGTCACCACAATGCATCCTAACACAAATTGAGAGAGTTTGTCTGATTGTGACTTCTCAGGCATGCATGGAACTTACACGATACCGGTCGAGTAGACTTTGACATATCAGTGATTAAGTGCTTACCCAGCACAGATAGTTCTAGTCATCTGGTACAAAACAGGTTAATTGCTCTGAAATTCTGAACACTAGCCTGTGCAGTTAGTAGATGATCATTTACACTGGACTGTTTTTTTCCACTTGAACATGCTCCAATAACATGAAGACTATTTGATGTACATAGATTAGGATCAATAACAAGCACTTTCCGTTGCAATGCTATTCGAGATATTCACATATTTATGGTATATCTCTAGCTATCGTCGCCTTCACTGCACTCTGGAGCCATCGATGTAAAGTACCTCAACTGCGCCAGTAAACAAACAAACGGCAAACGGCAAACGGTAATGCCGCTATAAACTCGTTGGATGGGTTTGCCTTTACAACGCAATGGACAGTAAGTCCACACTTCAGTGTCTGATACAACACATCTTTGCACCCAGGACAGAAGAGACATCATTCTTGAGATGAACACACGCCTACAAGATTCTGAGAGGGCAGCTTCAAAACATTATTCGGAGTGGTCTTGCAAGTTTGTAAGTCATGCGATCATCACCACCGTATATGGGAAGATATCACGGAGCTTGAAATGATCGAAACTGGAATTTTTATGTAGTCCAGAAAATGCTACCAATGGTCACCACTTCTTCGACTCGCATCTTGTAAAAGTGCGATGCATTACTATAAAGGGGGATTCATGGAACTGAAATTGAACAGCAAAGAGTGCAGAAAGCCCTTTCTGAATTTTTAATCGGTGCCCCCAATTATGATCACCTGGAGAATGGACCTTTTGGAAGCACAATGTTGAAGATAACATTTATAGAGTATTAAGAGAAGGTCTGTAGCTGGAGTTATAACGTTTAAAGAGGCCTGACCAGAGGAGCGATGTGTTAGCCGCGGGGTCTGGAGCGGAAGTGGCCCTTTCGTGAAGGGTAAGTGGGAGCGCCAGTTTTAGGGTTATCCTTTTGGCGCTCGCTGCGTTCACTGACTGACTGCGTCGACCGAGCTCTGCCCCTGCTCCTGCTCCTGCTCCCGCTCCTCGAAGCGAAGCAGTCCAGGCACAATCTCGAATCCAAATCTTTGTGCACTACATTTGTAGGCGTAGCGTTTCATCGACTGATCTGCCGAGCCACAGCTATGACGACCCTGGTCGAGACTTCTGATGAGGAGCCGACGATGGCCGTAGCCCGAACCATCGCCGAGCTTGCTTGGTCTCAAGGCGGCGCCGATGTACGTATATGTTTTGGTTTGAATCTCGCGGGAATTGTCATCGTTTTTGCGATGTTCAGATTTGTTGATCGGTGGCTTGGGATCTTGATTGTGGTTTGCAAAACTTTTTGTTCATCCGTTCGTTGCCCCTGTCCTTTTGCCTGGGTGTCACCTCTTTCTTCCCTGTTATAATTTGGTTGGGTTTTGTCTCCTTCCATGTCTTGGCTCCCTAGTGCGCTGATAAGCCAAATGCAGCTGAGGATTTTCCACCGTGTGTTTTAAATTTGCACACTTTACCTAATTCGATTGTTGTAAAGAGTATCGTTTTCCTGCTTTCTTCATTTTGTTTGGCAAGCTTTAGGACATATGTAGCCGCTGGCAGGTTGTAACGGAATTTCTCCAGCTGGAGATTATGGTCCTGTCATAAAGTATTTGAAGACACTTTCGTCTCGTTGGATTCCCGGATCCTGCATTAACTAAAGCGATTGCACATTGCAGATAGCGGAACCAGCGGTCGCACAGTACGTTTCGGAAGCGGAGGCGCTATTGGTGTCAGGACGATTTTCGGACCTGGCCTCTCTTTTGCTCACCTCAGCCGATGTGGTTCTTGCAAACGCACCCGAGAAAGGTGAGGTTCATCTCTGCAGTCCCGGAATTCGGAGTAGTAGCGGTCGTTTTGGATGTCTACTGTCTTGTTTCTTAAGCAGCCGACAGTTAAATATTATGGATCAAAGGAACCGCATCGGAACAGAGGAGAACATCAGGAGAAGCTGAGAAATTCGCGGGCGATGCTATTCGGCTTTGTATGGAGGTAGTAGGTTTTCAAGAATGAAACTCAGTCTGGAGGGCCTTCCACGTCGAAATTGTAGAATACATTGGTGGTGGATCACTATTGCAGGGTATGTTAAGAGCCAGTGGACCGTATGTGGTTATTGAGGATCACAGGGGAATCGCAGGTAGTTTGAAGGCCTTAGGATTGCGCCGTATGTCTTGGGAGAGTTTGACACTTTTTGGATCGCGCCGAAAATCATCTCTGATCAGGAGTGGCCTAGCTTAGGTATTGGACGCGATTTTCCAGCGACTTATAGGACACGGAAGGTTCTCGTGGTAGAAGAATTATGACCCTTGTACAAGCTTCTCCTGATTTAAATTGGAGATACCTTATCGGAGATACGGATTCGCTCATTTTCAGTGCCTGGCGATGAGTATTTCGGGGTTATCTGGAGCATTCTATATGGAGGCATGGGTATCTTAAAGCAAATTCCACATGAAGTCCCTCAGGGCACCCTCACCTTTCACCGCTGGCTTTAACTATTATATTATTTAGACTGTTCTCCATCTGACTTATTTCATGTTTTTTGTCCCAGATTTGGAATGCATTTTCACCGTCATCTGTAATTTGGTGAATAAGGCTCAAAGTCCAGATGAGGCCCTGGAAATGGCTGATCAAATAGGGAATAAGCTGATCGTTCAGCCTATTGACAAGCCAGCCCTTCGCTTAAAAATGTAAGGTTTGAACTTCCTATAGGCGGAGGTACTCCGTTCAAGGCTTCCTACAGTACTTATCTAGAAGGCGTTTCAGTTGCTGTAATGCTGGACTCAATTGAAACAGGACTTACAGCTGGGATATTGTGCATTTTGAAACTGATGAACCAAATTTTATCATTGGTCTTTTTGTTCCTCAGCCTTTTTCACCTGTACAACATGCTGGCAACCCCTTATGGTCGATTTGTGATCTTCAAGAGGGCACTTAAATTGGCCATTCTAGGGAAGGTCACCGAGCTAATTGTCCCTTCGTTGAAGCGATTGGATACGTTTATCAAGGAATGGAACATTGGCAACAGCGAGAAGCGCGAGCTTTACCTTACTGCCACAAATGTTTTGAAGGAAACTAAAGGGTAACTCTCAGATTCAACTTCGCTGGATATTTTCTTGGTTGCCTTCTCATCCCCGTGTGTTGCGATCACGATATGTAGCTTGAGTTGTCATCAGTTAATCTGTGACCAATGACCCGATTAATTTATGTCTTTTCTGTGGATACAGTTCAGGAAAAGAGTCTTTTGTGTTCCTGGTTAAGTACCTTGCGAGCTTTGCTGGTGAGGACGCTGCGACAGCAAGCGAGGCCAAAGAAGATGCTGTTAGGGCCATAATTGAATTTGTGAAGGCACCTGACATGTTCCAGGTACTATTTTCTTCTCAACTACAATGACCGCTCCATTCGGACAGATCACCGTTTGGGTGCACTGACGTTTTTTGTCGAAGAAGTTTCTTGTGGCCAACATATTTTATTCTTCTTAGAGGTTCGCCAATAACATTAAGAGAATTCGGCGTGTACTTTTGAGTAGCCCGAGAGAGCTCGTAATTGTGATGACGCATGGGGTGGGTAACAAAAGGGCTCCTCGAACAGGAAGCGATCAGTTCGCTCAATCCGATCTCTACGAGCGCTGGAAAAGTCATGCTTGTTTTTTGGTCTTTCCTTTCTAATTGCTTCTCGGTGTTGGTATCCGTGCAGTGTGATTTGCTGGAAATGCTTCCCGTTCGACAACTGGAGAGGGATGCCAAATATGCTCCCGTCTATCGGCTACTTGAAATATTCCTTACATCACAACTAGACGCCTATCTTGAATTTCAGAACTCGAACTCTGCCACTATCAAGACCTACGGTAAGTTGGACAATAAAAAAAATGGAAAAAAAATCAGAATAGTTGGTAAAAGTTGAGATGAAAGATTTTGCGATCTAAGGGACTTGACAATGCTTGTCTTCCGTGCTAGTTTTCGTCTGTGGTGGAGTCGCTGTATGTTGGTAATGCTTCAGTAGGTTATTGATGTCTCATTCCAAAATTTGTAACAAATGCTTTTGTTCTCCTTACCTGCAGGGCTTGTACACGAGGAGGCCATGACCAAGATGCGTTTAATGTCACTGGCTGGCCTGGCATCGAAGGGTTCGGGAGAGATACCGTACTCAGTTGTAAGAGAGACTCTAAAGGTGGGTGAAATAGTCACATTTTTGTGGCAGGTGGAGCGTCGGTTACGATCCTGCCAGAGTAATATAATCGTAACTCCGGAAGTTTCCAGAGGCACTAGGCATGTCTTTGTTTCTCTTACCATACAGGTACTTATGAGATCTCAATCACTTCTCTCTCTGTCCAGGTTGCAGACGATGAGGTGGAGTACTGGATCGTAAGGGCCATTGGCTCCAAGCTAGTCGAGGCGAAAATGGATCAGATGCGACAAGTGGTCGTCATCAGGTAACTCTTGGAAAAAAAAGTCGAGCACGTTTTACTACCTTCTTACAGGATGCTGTTGAAGGTTTTTGCGTGTAGAAATTAGACACTGTGACAAGGCCTATTTTACGATAAAGAACCTTCGGTTGTCCTAACACGTTGAAGGTTAGAAAGTGTTTCTTATTGCTTATGTGGTGCTTGTAGAGGAACCAAACAGTGATTCTTCTGTGACCTTCCCTTTCACCACTGCGTGAACGAAGCTAGTTTCATAGGCCAATGATGTCCTCTCCGTAATTCTCATCTTCTTTCCCTGGCCTCAAGGAGGTGAAGCATGCGAAAAGTTTCGCTTGCCGTCATTTCTGCACGTGGTTATCGTCGTTGGCGAAATAGGCTACAGGGAGCTAAACTTTTGTAAAAGGCCCAAACAGAGAGCATCTGCATGTACTCTTCTGCATGTTAAGGGCCCGGTGGAATCCTTTCAGCCACTCTCAATCGAATCTGATGTTTTGCCTTTGAAATGGATGACAGCCGTTGTACAGAGCGCGTGTTTGGGGCTCCTCAATGGAGAGAGCTGCGCAACAAACTGGCCGGTTGGAAGGTTAGCATTGTGTGACGCATGTTCATTTCTTATAGGAATTACGAAAGAAACTGCTTGTCCATCTCGGGAAGCCAGTACTTTATGATACTTGGAATGACCTTATTTTCATAGGCTACGGCAGCTAGGACTCTGTGATGATGTGCTTTCAAGTGCACCGAGTTTATAGTCTCAGATGTTTAATGTCCCGAAGTCATCCTTACCTTGGCAACTTGTTCGCAAATTCAGGAGAATATCAGCAGCGTCGAACGTATATTGGAGAGTGCGAAACAAAGTGGTGTACCTCAAGGATTGCAAGCAGCAGTGGCGGCCCATTAGTGTCAACCGCCATTAAGAGTTAGTTCTAGCAAAGAGGTGGGGTCACCAAATTGAAATTTTGTAAGGCTAATAGTCGTCCACTCGAGTGGACTTGATCGATTTTGCAGCTTGTCTTCACATAGCCGAAGGTGAATGGCTGAGATTTATGCATGGGTTATGGGTTCCATTGATGACTGGTTTTCGTTTCAAATCTGTGGCTGTAGAGTGTCCAGCCCGAAAAAGTCTTTGTGTGAGCTATTCCAATGCCTCTGGGATGCTTGTCTTAACGAAACGCTCACTGATAGTTTGAAGTTAAACGAAAGCAATCTTATTCTTCACTGGATGAAATAATGTCTGTGCGATCAACTTGCTTATCTGCGTACAGGCTGTACTTCATAATTTTGGACTTCAAGATCATATGTTGTTAATAAGACTCTTTCACTGATGGTTACATTCACTGGGACTGAGTAGTTTTTCCTCCCCAGCTATGAGTAGTTGGATTTTGAAGCAACTTTGAACCATGTTATTCGAGGCGTCGCGGACCTACTCTGCTGAAAGTTACAGGGAAGTCGGACAGTCGTCTTTTCGTTACGATGGACGCGAGGTGAACTGACCGTAGGATGGGTTTGAAGAGTTAGTGCACTGATATGAGGCCCATGGAATAGAGTCTATGACACGGACAAGAGGGTCCTCGTGGCACCGACATCTTGTAATCTGTGTTAATTGACCCACCTTAAGTTCAGGCAGCAGATGATAACAAACTGTAAAGCAGCTCCTGGCCAACTTTATCATCTCTGATTAGGTTGGTAACCTCGATGTGACGGCCTTGAGAGAGAGGTCTTGGTGGGATGAAGGCCAACTCGAAATACGAAGCTGTGAAAGAGTGCATTTCCCAGGAAGAGATTAAGTTGGCTAGTCTAGCAGGCGAACCTCAACGCGGGACCCTTGATTACCTTGCCAATTTTCAATTTAGGAATATAGTCACGTGATTTCGGCACCATTTTTGACAGAAAGCTTATAAGGTTGCTTTAATTTAACGCAATCCATGTGCTGAGAAGATAGTCTCGGACACGCTCCGAGTATAATAACTCGAAAGGCAGAGACCTCAACATCGTAGGTATTGTTGGCCGAAATGTTGGCCTATCTGGGTGCACCGGGTGTAGGGCACACACCGATCCAAACATCTTGGGTCAGAATTTGGGTACATAGTCCCGGGTGTGTCAAAAGTTCTCCACGAGATCCACATTCCACCGGGCCTGCCTATGAGAGGATGAGACTTGCATACGTGAGAATCAAATCCTAGGCCAGACTGACCACGAATGATGGACTTGAGTGTGATCATTCTGAAATTGGGGTCTCCTCAATTGCAAGCGATATGCCATAAGCCTTGGAGTCTACCACTTTGCATTTGAATACTCCAAGAAAGGTCCAATAAGGGGTGATTCGCTCAAAGTGATGAGCTTCATCTTTGTACAATTGCATCAGGTTGGACATGAGGTACAGTACAGGAGGCACAGCTTTCAGATTCGGGCATATTGTCTACATCGTATTGCTAGTCGTTAGCGAAAAAAGTAGAAATCGCAGCGCTTTGTCTTCCACCTGAGACTTAATGCTAAAAATATAGTCTGAAATTAGTACTCGGCACAAAATGGAACATAATTGGCGGAACACCTGCTTATTTCTCGGTAGCGAATCGATGGCGAAAAGGGTCTTACTCCTACAGATTGCAAAGATGATAGTAGATTGTCCATACCTTCGTGAGGACAGAGGCCGTTACAGCCGGCCAAAAATTGTACTGCAGGATTACAGAGCAAACTTTTCCATTCCATCGATTGCACCTTGCCACTGTGCCTAGTTTCCGAACCAGGTGATGGTCCCAATCATTCATTTCTCACTTCAAATACTGCTGCATATGTACAATACTATGGCAACGGTGGAACCGTAAGATGTGAAGTTCTCCAAGATGGACCACAGAACCGTGTTTTAGAAACGGGCCACTACCGAGTGGCTCTTGCAGAACTTATTGCCAAGGGATGAGTAGGCAGGTGAACTTTTGTGCGACAAATTTTGTAGGGTTCTTTTCGATTGCAGAAATTTGAGAAGGTGCATTACCTGGTATCACGAATACCAATGTAACCGGTTTCGTAACGGTTGGAATGGCACGGAATGATTGTGTCAAGTTACCCTTCAGAGCTGACATGTTTCCCCAAGAGGTTCCAAACAAGGCGCAACTTGAAGTTTTGAAAATTGCGCTGTATGTGAGATCTTCCTCACTGGACCGCACCTCAATCAGCAACTTTCCGGTGAATCATCACCACGCAGACCTCGGCAATGCAATGCGCAGGGGATGGCAATAATTCTTTCACCCTGCGTTGCTTGAGCCTCAATCGAAAACGCTTCAGGCCGGGGAGAGCAGAGATTGATGCCAATAATTTCTCCACCATGCGGTGCTTGCATGGACGTTCCTTTGCAAGCTTCAGCTCGACACGTGCTAGGATGCAAACCTTTTCTGAAAAGATACCAAGAAAGAATCTTGCCTCATCTTGGTCCACAGGGACACGTACTTCCGAGCAAGAGGGAAGAAGCAGATTAGCGATTTGTTTGGGCCAGAATGCTGTGAACGATGGCTGATGGAACCTGAAATTGCTTTTCCAAAGTAGCCAGTTGCTACGGCGTTCGCGAGGGTTGAGGCAGGCTCTTGGGGGCTGACAGTGATACCTCCAGGTCCATTGGCCCTGACAAATTGATCGCAAGCAGTCTGGAGAGATTTGCAAGCGAAGATCTCAGTAAGCAACCATCATTAATGATTTGTTTTTCTGGGGAACAAGAACTGCCATCAGCATCGGCCTGGAGTCTTGAGAGATTTAGAGGTTACGTGTGTAATGTTTGAATCACAAACACCAGCTGGCTGGCTGGCTGGCGGGTTGGCTGCACTGCGTCCGTCCCTGCGTTTCTGGAACTCGGCGATCATCTCTGTCACTGGAAAGGCTGGCGAAAGGCGAACAAGTTAGCAGCTCTACCACTTTTCCTACACCACCTTTTCAAGAAGAGGAGTGTCAGTCTGAGGGTGCGGTGTGGACCAATACAAGGATTTTGTCCTGGAATGTGTTGCGCCAGGACACCAGGACAAGAATGTTTCATTGAGCTCAGCAAATACGGTCTTCTGTTCGACCCATTAAGAGCCAGCTGTCCTTGTTTTTACCTACCTCTCCATTTTTCTCCTCCCGTCACTCGGAGATGTACGTCCTTGAGATAATTCTGACATCTTTTACCGACGATTCTGGGGTCAACTGCCGCCATGAAGGTGGCTTGCTCCACCCGCTCGCTCTCAGCGTTGTGTGCAAACCTGGCTCGGGTCAACTCCAGTTCAACTCATTGCACCACCAACCAATCCAGGTGACGTAGAGCCCATCATGAATCTCGCTCTAATCCATTGCTAGCATCCCGGTACGGAACGCAAACGCCATCCCGTCTTCCGGTAGATTTTCTCTTTGTCCGGTGCAGATGATTGAAATGAATCTCTCGAAGTGCGCACGGAAGGTAAAACCGTGCTCAGCGTGGAGAATTTAGGCGAGCCCCCGTGCAGGTCCGTGCGAGCTTCGTGCAGATGGGTAAGACCCGCGATCACTTTCTACAGCGTGAACTACATCTCCCGATACAAATGCTGCGGCAGATGAGAAAGCTTCAATCCCTATCGTGAGGAATCGGCTGATGTAAATTCGGGGAGAACTAACTTTACACGGCAGGAGAAAAGTGAAGCCGGATCCGATCCGGACCTATTTTCCGAGAAGTGAGTTCAAGGGTCGGCAGTAATCTTGTAATCCTGGTCGCCTGACTGTTCAACGAGTCCTCATGAGCCACATCTATCAGTGTAATTGTCGACCGAGAATGTAAGAATTTAATGCACCACGTACAGTCTTATCCTGCAGTCGTGATGGGGAGCTTATGATCTTATGACGCCGCTGGAAGCTGCGTGGCCGGCTCCAAGATCTGCAGCAGCTCAATGCTGATGTTTCTCCCCTTCTCCGGCATTCCAGATTTTCAGTGAAAGATCATTCACCTAGAGTCTCGATCTCGTCAGCAGGCAGTACGCAGTAAGCAGAAGGATCGACTACTGTACGTTGGCGCTTTCGTTGCTCGCTCTGTGGAGCGAAGGATTAGCGTGTTTGCCATGTTTACAATTCTCATACTGCGGTTCATGAACAAGAATCCGGCGAAGCAGAAGCAGGAGCAGGGGACCTGAATCATCCCCGCGCGATGTGCCATTCATAAAGAACTGTCGGCTGAATCTCTTGCATCAGACAGAGCTTTTCAACTATAATGTCGGTATGATCCTCAGCCGGGTCCCGGACTCCGTCCAGGAGTCGAATCCCACTTCCTCGAATCACGACTCTAAAGCCCCGAGGCCCGGAACCGACATTTCCCCGACAGACAGACTCGCGAGGCTCGGGGACGGGAACGAAAGAACGAAAGGCGAAGGGAAGCCACAACTGCGCTCCGCTGACATTCTACCCGTGCCCTCACAGGAACGCGCGACCGGGAAACCGGGAAACCAAACCCTCTCGCAGATCGGAGGCTCATCATCATGACGACCGGCAGGATACACGCATCGCCATCCGAGTCACCCACAGATGCCGTTGATCCGGTTCCCCGCCATAAAAGCCGCCCTTCGGCTTCGGCTTCGGCTCCTCTCGACTTTCGTGCGGGGCGCGCCTTCTTGCCTGCTCTCCTCTGCTCCTTTGCCTGGTGCTTCGAGCCGTTGGGGCGCTCCTCTCCCGGCCGCGCGCCGATCGTGGACTCCGTCCTCGTCCCCTTCTCGAAATTTGAAAATCGAAAATCGAAAACCGAAACTAAAAATTTTGAAAATCATAACTCATAAATCGAAATTCGAAATTCGAAATCCGAAACTCAAACTTGGGGCGCCGCCCTCGTTGACGGGCCTCGGCTGCCTTCGGCTTTGGGCGTGGCTCTCTCCTCGTGAGTTCCCTTCGTCGTCTTCTTCTTCTATTTCTATTGCGTCGCATGCCCGAGGGCTGAGTATCTTCCACCGCCTGCGAGCGACCGATTCTGAATCTGACTCGGTCTTTGCACGGCACGAAGAGGATGCATCGGAGTTCGGAAGGCGGGCATTACATTAGGTCTCGACATGACGATTCTCTCGAGAAAGGGGGTCGCCATGTCGTCGGCATTTATGGAGTCCGACGCTTTCTGGCCGCCTTCGGAAGGGTCTTGCGGAGGCACACTTCCAGACTCGTTGACGCATCGTGTTATGTCTTCTTGTCATGCGGCCCATCTCGCATGGTGCACCGAACGAGAAAGACTCGATGAGTTGACGTTTACTTGTAGCCAGTGACTAGATCAGCGGGGTGAAAGTCTAGTCTAGACGCACTTTCGATCCTTCGACGAAAATTTGTCTCAAACACAGGCGGAGCGTGATCCCGCTTCTTCATCGAGTGGGGTCATGTTGTGGGAGAAAAGGTATTTCTTCCTACTATGCAAGGAACTGCAAGTCAGATGACATAGAGGTAATGGTACTGAAATGGGAAAAAGGTCAAATGTTTGTCTTCGGCAGACAATGCAGGCCGTGGAAGGTACTTCGGCCGCTTGAATGGGAGTCACACCATAATCATGTGACCAAAGAAGTCCAAGTTCTCTGGTCCAGACCGTAGAAGAAGCTAAATAAATCCCGCCTTTGGGTGCAAAAAGGTACAAATTAGGACTAAACACCCTGGACCATTCGTAGACTCTTGTCAAGAACGCCACCATCCTCCCAATCATTTCGCCATCTTCTTTTCTATCGACGGATTGACCTGTCCCGAAGACACAGTTTGCAAACGAAAATCTGTACAGCTTGCGAAATCTCTACTCTCTCCACATTACGTAAGAAAGGTACACTCTGACCTCCGCGTGTCCAAATTTCTGCACTAGCATCAATGTTGAAGTACTTGGTTAATACAAAGGAGTTGTGATGCACTATGGCCCATAGTCTATGGGTATGTACTAAATCCGTATGTCAGTCCACACACTTCAATGTCTTTTCAGTTCTTTTTGGAAAATTGTACATATAAGTACGGACCTGTTGTCTCCACAAGTGAGCGAACCCTACAACGAATGGATTTCAATCTACTGCCATCTTACTCATAAGAAACCTACTTATTTCTTCTCATGAGTTTTAGCTTGACTAGGTCACGTCACAGACTTTGCAGTGTTATTCTCTATCTCCTGGTATCGAACCTACATCATTCATGCACCTTCCTTCAAATGTCTGCTTGCTTTCACCGTTGCATTGTCGGAGCAATAGGGATGAAAGCTTCAAACACTCTGGTGTGAAAAAAATGACATCAACTACTTGGAACTAGTATGCAGACTTACTGTAGCTTCAAACACTCTGGTGTGAAAAAAATGACATCAACTACATGGAACTAGTATGCAGACTTACTGTAGCTTCAAACACTCTGGTGTGAAAAAGATGACAACAACTACATGGAACTAGTATGCAGACTTACTGTATTTCATTCACTGGTGCACTGCACGATTGGTCCAGTATGGGGATGTACAAAAGTGGCATATCACACTTTTACAAAAATACCAAGAGGTAAAACTTGAGGTGTATCTCACTCGCAGTACATCGGGATGGAGATAGGGATCCTACCATGAGTCATGATGCTCAGCTCGTTTGGAGCTTGCGTGGTCACTTGCGAACTGAGGTAGACCTCCTTGATTTGATTACTCCGGCCTACTTTATTGAAATTCTCGTAGAGACCGTTCCGACTCTGAATAGGCTTGCATCCACCAGGACCTTCTTCCCGATCCAGCCTTCTCTCACACTTTTCCTTCTTGATTACGCCCCGGCCCTCCAACCTTTCTTCCTGTTTTAAGAACATCCATACAGGTGTAGTTTGGGGTCAAAGCATGAGCAAATATTCCGTTCAATCATCTGAGTTGGTTCTTACGTCACTCATTTCCATCCCTGGACGACTTGCAGATAAAGCCTCCTTAATATCTCACTGCATCCACTTCTTGCAATTTCAGACACTGCAGAGTCATCATAGACAATGTGTGTTGCTATTGAATTTGCCACACCTCAAAATCAAGTGCACGGCGTCGCCGTAGCGAGCACTTGCTCAAAGTGGTTCAAGCTTGAAATTTCATACATTTTGAAATATTTCACAAATTAGTCGAGAGGCAGTTTCACTTCACTTCATTTCATCTGGAATAATTGAGATGGCGTTGAAGCCTGAGGCGTGTTGAGGATCAGAGAAGAAGAAAATACAATCACAGGCTCTGTCACTCATACTCGCTCGCGTCTTCCAGTGAGTTTCCAGAATGGTAACTAAATTGTTGTTGGTCAAGGGTGCGCGTTTGGACCAGTGATATGTGCTTTTGGCTAACTTTTGGTAGGACCGGTGATAAGTATTTGATCAGCGCAGCACTGGAACACACTCCCACAGAGATGCCGGACTGTATTCTATTATTTAATAACTGGGGGGCGACAGACCTAATAAACTTGGGACTTGTGAGGACATCCTCTCCCTGTACACACCACCATCCACCAACCCCGTACCGTAGAATTTCGAAGTCCCAGTCACACTGCGACGTTCTCTGGCACTCAAACTGCGTAGACCAGACTGGGGGCAGCGAGTCCAGATGTAGCTGGATGTCATTGTCAGTACATTTGTGTGGTCTGTCGGTATACGCTTTTCCGAACCGATGAATGGGCTGGACAATGGTGAGCAGCAACGACGAGAGAGTCGAGTCAAAGTGATGCGCTTCCTCGAGCCGGAGACGGGAAAGAAATCGCGAGCAAATTGAAAAGCAATAAACGGAAATGGCTGCAAACTCCTTTCCGCTTGTGCATGCAATCCCATGACGGGGCTTGGATACTGGAGCCCGGACGCCCTCCTCGCTGCCTACCGTCGCACGCCATGTGCCAGATATCCACCGGTCCTTCCCTCGGGGCGTGAGTATCCGGTGAACACTGCACTCTCCTCCCCTAGTTAGGACGATGCGAGCTAGGGTCTCAGACGGACCGGGCCGTCCGGAAAGGCAAGGGCTTTGATTCCAGGTGGAAAGTCCAGGCCTCTGACGAGCCGGCATTCTCGTTGCCTAGAACTCATCGCCTGCCGCCGGGGGAAGGCCCCGCCACGAGAAGCCAGGCCGGAGCGAAATGCCGGCCCGGCAAATTTCCAAACAACAGTAGTGGATTACGGGCCCCCATGCCGGAAGCCCAGAAGACGCCCCAGCCCGAGCCCCCGTTCACATGGGGCGCTCTTCAGGCCGCAACAAATACGGATTTGTTCAGGACTAAGAGGAGGTCGATGTTATTTATGGAAGTCGGGGACTCTTATTTATGCTGGGCTTGGATGTGGCCTCGTTTCTCCGTCATTTTTAGTAGCTCCCTTTAATGCTGCACAAGGTCTTGCGTGGAAAGATCTGAATTATTGTTACCCAGTTAACTCTGCGGGTTCGTTCCAGTACGATTTGTGTGTTTTGTGGTTCATCATTGCTTCGATTTTTATCATAAAGCGCGCTTCTCTCACTAGCATTTTCCAGCATCTGCTCCTTGATTGCCCTTGAAACGATGCATCGGGGAGTTCTCGCGTCCTACTTATTGATTTACTTCACATTGCCCAATCCAGAGGTAGTGTTTGACTTAACTTCTCTGCTTTTCCCACCCAATCAGGCTTTTTTCATGAGGACTTGCACAGCAAAATTAAGACCATAAGGTGAGAATGAAAACATACATACTCACCATGAAATGCATTTGCAGGTAACACATGGAAACATTCATTACCCGGATCATGAGTTGTGGGCAAAACAGAGTTTCAACTTCACGTGGAAATGGGAAAGGCATATTGGGAAGAGTTTGGAATCTTAGGAAAGATTCGAAACCGAGTCACTTCCACGGAATGCCAGGAGGGGGCATGCTTCATCCAAAGTTGCAAGATGCTTCATCTACTGAGCGAGTGGTCAACGGCTGCTGTCAAGCTCATGCTTACACATGAATCCAAGCTTTGTGACAAACAAGCTGTCGATAATAGCAAGCAGTGAAAATACCGGATGACAGAAGACATCCACATGCAGATCTGAGAAAAGGGCAGTCTTAGAGTAGTACAAGAATACAAAGGAGGCGGAATGGACGGTCATGGTGCAGCTCCCCTTGTATATTCTTGCCACCTCCACCACCCCCCACTAGTGATTTTACACTTGCATCACCCGTTTCATGTTGCAGATTAAGACCCCATGTTCTCGCCACTTGACCCTGCTCTAACGTTTCCCAATCCATGCCTTATGTGCGAATGGCTTTTGCTGGCAAGTGCAGCACAACCTTGTCCGTCCTCGCTGCTGCAGGGTGGACAACCAGCAAGTCCACCCGTGGACGATGGCCACTCGACAATGCGACCTGATCAGTATCAATAGATTTCGCAATGTTGTCGTTTGACCTTCAGCCTAACTGTGGAGCGGTGGGGGCAGCAGAAGATGTGCGCCTCCTGATTGTACATCCTTAATCTGAATGATCGACATAATGAGCACCCGGCTGCATCCAATCAAGGCTAGGCAGTGCCGATTAAGGGATACTTGTAAGAGGTCAAATGCCTCCACGTTGTAACATGCTTCAAACTCTCGGAAGATGATTCAACATAACCTCAATACGTTACATTGTCTTTCCAAACGGAGATGGAGCACGTCAAAGCTCCATCACGTAGCTGGCAAAGTATGCCATTGCAACTTCTGTCCGACTTATGCCCGATACTGATATGAATTTTATCCAATCCCTTCCCTCACGTACTTGGAGGTGACTTTCGTGGTGTGCGAGTTGAGATGGTACAGGGGAAGATGCGAAGAATCTTTGATTTAATTGTTGTTTTGACTGGACTTGGTCGTTGACGAAAGGTAAATGACGAAATTGATTTTCATTAGAGTACAAGCGGTATATCCACTGTTGACAGACTTCTCTTCTGCTCTGAGGAAGTATTGTTCGGTGTTTTTCGACATAGTTCAGCAGCTTTGAGACAAAAGAGATAGAGAATGACGCTGGCTGGATGACGGCAAGAGTATCTACCACCAAACTCATATGTACGCCGACTATGGACCGATGAGAGCTAGATCATGAGGTTTGTTTTGTGACCAAGAGGGGCAACAACTGGTTCACCTTTTAAACGTGAATTCTTACAGGAGGGCAAGCAGGTTGGAAAAGGTTTGTTGCTACTTCTGAGGAAGGATGGGACCTACTGCAGGGTCGGACCTTCGGTCGAGCTAACAACAGTAGGTTCCTAGTGAGCTCTCACTGGACGAATCTAACAACGTCCATGCCCACGTAGAGTGGACACGATATTCATAAAGGGAGCTGTACGTCTTCAAAGCTGTACTTGAGTGTCTAATTCAGATTTTGGATGAGAAGGAGGTCATTATTCTGGGTTTGACACAACCTTTAGATGGAAAGATGATAATCAAGGGCTGAGAAGAAGTAAACCGCAGATGTGTACGATGGAGGACTCCGGAGGTCACAATGATTTGCCGCTCCCCTTCATAAGCATCAGGTCGAGGTCGATAAGTTGCCTTTGTTGGAATTATGATGATATAATTTTCGTTCTGTAGCAATAAGTAATGGGTAGACCTTTATGCTCCGCAAAATGCCAAAGCTGTTGACATTTACAATCACTTCATGCATGCAGAAGCGGCGTAGAGGCCACTAAGATTGGTGGAATAAATTGCTCGTGAAATGGAGGAGAGGAAATAATCGAGCGGCCGAACTTTTCACCACTACCTTCGCCAACAATTTGGGTCACTGACCATCCTGGAAGCTTTCAATCACTTTACATTTTTGTCTCTACTTGCAAGCCTGGGCTGTTGAGGGCGATCGGCACTGTTGGCGGCCTCCATACGCACAGTGCTCACTCGTTTTGATGTTCAGTGGAGCGAGTGCACTTATACTGCGCTCATCAATCAAATGTTCACAACTGGGGTCATGAAGCTCCCACGATTATGGCCAGATAAGATTTGGAAGACGTATAGGTAGACCTGTGAGGACCCTGTCTTCTTGAAAGCCTTATAATAATCTCTCTGGATCGAAACTTCTCATCCCTGGGACTCCAAACCCAAAACCAACGAGCAAGTCATGTGCAACTTGTTAGCGTTGGTGATTCAACTCACAATCTTACTACATGCACAACAGTTAATAAGAAAACTGCCCCAACATGCTCTACGCGTACTTCACTTGCTTGGAGACAAAATTCTGTAGCTCAATTTGAGGTTAAGGTTGAGTTGTACCAGGGATCACTATTTACAGAAGTGAATGGAGAGCTCTCACTTTTAGATTGATACTACTGTTCGCTGCACCAATATACCAATAAAGTTCCAAAACGCAACGTTGGATTTTATATTCGATTCCCCACCTTAAATCTAGTTTTGATACTTGGGTATGGAGCCTGATAAAAGAAATCGCTGCTTAACATAACAGGAGACAAATATCTGGCTCGGGTGGATGGTGGTGGTGGGGGTGGCTTGTGCACACTGTGGGCATCTGAAGTAGAATGCGTACTCGTGGCGATTTGAGGTTAAATGAGCTCAAGACCCATGTGCAGCACCAAGAGTCACCACGCCTACCCCAACCCGACCCCGATGCTAACCATGGGCGGAGCAATAGTCATTGTTTAGTCTCGGGCCCCTTCAGTGACGGGCTGGAGAGAGGCAGCACGCCCTTCAAATTGCATGGTTGCAACTTTCTCTGAGTCTCCTTCGTCCCTCCCTGTCCCTTCTTCCAACGCCTGCTCCTCTTCAAGCACTAGTACACCATGACTAGTGCTGTAGTAGAGCGGAGGGCAGCAGCAAAGCAGAGAGAGAAAGGGAAATAGAAGACCTTCCGCAAGAGAGAGAGAGAGGACTGAAGGGCAAGTGAATGGCAGACGAATCGCATGTGGAGGCAGCCGATCGATCGGACTACAGTTCTGTTTGTGCGCGTGCTCAAATTCAGACTCTTTATGACGAGGAGCTACTTTTGGTCCTCTCGCTGAGTAAAGGATGAGTCGGTGCTGAGACAGTGCGCAGTCGTCGAACCCCCACAACTGAGATTTACATATGAAACACTACGACCAGTACCCAAGACCAGAGACTTTCATACCGCTGACTACTCCTGCTTCTTTCTTGTATTTCTAGCCTTGAGGAGAATGCATTCGCTTCACCGACAAGGAAAGGCGAGCGAGACTTGGAGGAGCACGACGCGGTGAAGAGAGAACAGTCGGCTATGAATTGGGTTGCGACATATGTGACATCAGGTTCCGGTTAATGAGCAGAGCAGAAGAGCGACTGACGATTGGCGAGTTCCATGTATTAGCCTCTGCTGCTGAATGCTTTCCGGGATCGATTGATGAACGGAAGTGGAACGAGGCGGAACACTGAGAGGAAGAAGAGGAGGACGAATTTGAGAGTGTTCGGTCAGAAAGGCAGGAAATGAGCTTCTAGATTGTCATGTTCGAATGAGTTAGAACTGTACATTCGCCTCGAACAGAGAATTTGAACAAACTTACATACGTGTTGTCACTGCTCGAAGGCTGGGAGCTATGAAAAGCCGGAATCTGTAAGGGAAGCCATCTCAGCTGCAGTCCGCCTGCATTGCCAAGCCTTGGAGCGTACTCTCATGTCACGGCGTCGTTGGAGGTCGTGTTGTCGCTCAGAGCGGATGTAATGTGGAAGAATCAGAAGTCAGAGTCTGGAAGCTTTGCACCCAGCGGAAGAAGACGCACAAGCTCGAGCTGCAGTGCGATGGTAGAGCACACTGGTGGGCTGAGAGCGAATGGATTGTTGAGGTGATCGCTCGTTGGACGGCCAGAGAAACTCGGGGTCGGCGTGGTTCGAGAAATTGGAGAATCACTCGTCGTAGAAATGGTAGAGACCGATGCTCGAACGTATCCTTTGTACAGCGAATCGAAGGGAGCTGATCTGTGCCACACATGCCCGAGTTTTCGAGCTTCGTACGTCTGTGGATTCCCCATCCACAAGGACCCCGATGGGCTCGATGGAGTTCTGGAAGGAATAATCAGGGGCCCCGTTCTGAGACTGGCCCGTGCTCTGGGGACGTTCCGCCACCTCATTGCGTGCTCGAGGCCGCGCATCCACCGGAGCCCCGACGTGGAAGAGACCACTATGCTCACAATTCCAGGAAGCCCCGAGGAGAAGGCCGTGGACCGAGTGGGGATCAAAGAAGCGAAGAAGCAGGCCACGGCCGAAGGCATGCGCATGAAATTGGAGCTCCAGGCCGTCCTCCGGCACCTCGAGGTCAGGTGGCAGTTGTTCAACGAAGCTATGACCAAGTGGTGTGATCTCGAAGCCATGCTCGCCATATGTACAGGTATCATCTCCTCTTTTCAGTTCTCTCTCTCCATTCAGTTCATGGCACGAATTCTCGTCATCCCTTTGTGGAAAGAGAAACTCGAATTTATTTTCGCCTAGCAAGGTTGTCTGCCACCCAAGCACGCCGCCATTCGAAGGGAAGACATCCCGGGAGCTGAAATTTGTGAAGACGATTAGCTGTCTCTCCATGATTTCTCATGCCTCCATCTATCTTAGTTTACAAAACTCGTTCTCGGCTCAAGAACCGAGCGATCAAAGCTCGAGACAATGCGGTGTATTAAATTACATTCACAGGGTTGCTCTTTCCAGCCTGTTCTGCAGAGCCCTTAAAATAACATTATTCTCCCCGATCGTCTGATTATTCACGCCGAAGGCGACAAGTCGCGAATGCGCCGAGATTGGTCCTGGAAATGGAGAAGCTTCGAGCCGAAACGAGTCTGAAAGTCGGGTTCTCTCGACGAGATTTCGGTAGAATGTGAAGGAGCGAGTCACGTGGGAAGAGTTTGTCAGTGGTCTCGGTTAACTGTCGAACGGGGGAAGGGCAGTGGATCGTCGTCACAGTCGAACGGAGCTTGGCTGCCAGAGACAGAGACAGAGAGAGAGAGAGAGAGAGAGAGAGAGAGAGAGAGAGAGAGAGAGCTTTTTCTTTTCTTCGTCCGCTTCCTCGTCCGACTGCCGGCCTTGTGGGGATCGAGGGAATGTTCTAGGCGCAGGAGTCGGACTCCGCTGAGCCTCTGTCGTTTGCAGCGTTGTTCTCTGGGGAAATGGAAGTTCTCGTCGAGCTTGCACGATTAGGAGAGATTTTGACTTGGAACTTGGTCGGCCAACCACGATTGCCGGTGCTCGTGAAGTCTATGTTTGTTCAGGGGTGGAGGGAATCTTAGATTGGAAGGTTGGGAAGCGCGGCTCTGAGATTTGGGGGCGATTACGTGAATCGTCCTTGTTTTGTTGGATGTTAGCGCGTTGATATTCTTGAGCCGAGTTTGAGATTCTCTCTCTGATTTCAGCAGCCTTTATTCGTGGAATTCAGGCGAGATTCCTCATTACCCACGAACAGCTCCCTAGTCCGCTGATTTCCTTCACGCGAGAGACTAGCGGCGAGATTGTCGTGAGGCTTATGAGGTCCGACGACCTGTCGTGTTCACGTGAACTTTAGAAATAGAGTTCCCTGTAAATTCTCACAGAGGCCCTGGTGTGCCTCATTCAGCGGCATGAAATTGTCAATGTATCCTGCTAATGACGAGACAGTGTACAAAACCTCTCTCCAGTATCTAGACAGTGTACTACGATGTAGTTATCTATAGTTCTTTGTATCGAATGAATTTGTTATTCAGCCGATGGTTGCGTATAATCGTATCTGTCTTCTACGGGAGATGATAACTATCCTTAGGCCGACACCGTAATGCATCTAAATTTCGGATGGAAATCAGAATATTAGCGAAATTCTCATTCACATCCGAATTTCAAATTCAGGATAAAAGCGAGGAATGGCCAGATTGCGTGTGACCTGAATTAATGTTTCATAGAAGTTGTTAGATTCAACTTCTCTTCCAGCATCGTCTGTGTACCCGGTTGTAGGAAGCATTGCTTGAAAGCCACAATCCAGGTAAAGTTGTAGGAACGCGATCAAGTGCCTGCTAAGTCATGATCAAATCATATGACGTCGCCCAGCTTTCATTGTAAGCAGAGCATCATCAGAATGATGCTCTGGCTTACAGAATGAAAGCTGTGGTAGAATATCAAAGATTTATCCACAATGGATAATCAATTAAAAGACTGCATGAACTTGTTAGTTTTCATCTGTCATGATTTTGTCGTCCGTCTGTAGAGTACTGATCCTCTTGTTGGTTCACAGAGAACGTGACTTGGAGCGGGGCGAGCGGAATCGTCATCAGCGGAAAGAACTCACCGCTGCTTTCGCAGGACCTTCGCTCACTTCTGGAACGCAAGTTATCATTGGATGTGGTTATCGACAGAATAACCCGACTGTCTCCGATGATTTGTCCAGATCTGAGTGTGGACAAGGACGGCAACTACGTCAGTCTTGAGGACACGGACTTGAAAAATGCTGCAGCCTCTCTAGACGTGCTTCTGGGCATGCGCAGGACAGACGTTTATAGTGAAGATCAGTGGTACAGGGACGTAGGGCCGTACATGGTGCTCGAAAAGGACCGATACACCCTCCGAGACATGAAGGTCAGCCAGCCCGTAAATCAGTCTCATTCCAACAATCACAACACAAGCTGTCTATCGATTCTTCAGTTCTGATCAGTAGATTCCGATATTCACTTTGCAAAATGCCCAACAGTGCACTTAAGTCGCAACCTGTTTGAAAAGGGAAATGTATCTGCTGACTGCCCTCGTATTCTTTCAAATTTCTTGCGTCCATTGTGCTTTATCTGATGGGATGTTTGGGTTGTGCGTGTGCAGGGAAACCTCGTAGAGGAAGGGACGAGAACCGTGCTGTGGAAGCAGCACAATTCCACTTGGTATATTCGAGCGTGCATGATTTGTCCATCTGGCGAAAACACATCAACCATCAAACTGTAAACTACAGATAGGAATTTTTTTTACTACGTGCTTCCCGAGGACGACACTCACTGACGAACCCCTAAACCTACTTCCCATCCGGCAATTCATTGATCAATTGTAAAAATCCAGATAGTTTCAGGTCGGTGCTTCGGTACAAAGACTCGATGACCGAGTCGGTTGTTTTTATCTAAGCTGAGTAGCAGAAAAAGTCCTGCACGTTCAGTTTTGCCCCCGTCCTCCCCTTAGTGTAAATAGCCAGTCGGTCTCCTTTGAGGTAAGTACTGGAAAATCTTAAAATCACCATATTAATGGAGGAAGTCAGTCTCTTATTGGCCCTCAAACTTATCGACAGGTCTGGGTACAGCACTCTAATTCGCTGCGAGCCCTTTCTGTCTTCTCATTCATGTCAAACACAACTACTATATCTGGACTTTTGTAAGAACCCTTCAATCCTCTGAGGTTGAAGTTCAATGAAATGTAAATGTGCAATCGTAACCACTTCGTCTGTCAAAGCTCTCAAGTTCTGTCTATCGGTGAAAGATATTAAGATGCTCTTATACATGCTTGCCCTTCCATTTACTTTTTTCCTCGCACCTCGAGTATTCGCACCAGCCGGATGGTTTGCTGGCTTCCCTGACAGATGCATCCACCGCTGCAGTGGCGTTTGCGTTTACTCGAAATCGCTTTTAGTCTGGTTCAAACCTTACAGCAAATTTTAGAAGGGCACGTAAAGTGAAATTTACCTGGAAGGTAGTTAGTGTACGTTTGGAACACGCTTTTTCTCCCTTCCTATACTTCCTTTTCGTTGAAAACTGTTTCAACGAAAATTCATGTCTACTCTCTTGCATCATGAAGATATAGGCTCTAATTCTATCACACCTCTCGAAAACTCGCAATTCCATCAGCAACAAGAGACTTAGGGCCCATAACTTATAGTGGAGGTTTCGAATACTTTGATGGATTGCACGCGAAAGGAGTACATGTCTTACAAGATACAGTAAGTGAACCGTTTGTGTGAGTTCCCTTTGGATTCAAACGTAGAGCGGAAAACATTCTGTCAAGCCAATTGCCAAATCTTGGTGAGTCATGTACACATCTGACAATGTGGATAACACAGGTTTGCACACGAACCCATTCGGGTGAAGGACCACACCGTAATCAATCTTGAAAAGACGGAATCATTGATAAGTGAAAAGTCCGACATTTCTTTTAGATTCAAAGATGCAAAAAGTTAATGAAGCACATAAGATGACTTCGTATCAGAAGTCGAAACAATCATATTCCTCACTACCGATAAGTTTACTAGCTGCCATTTGCCGTGTGACTGTCCTGTGTTGGATCCCTCTCAAAATCTACCAACTGTAAAGTTAACTAAGTCAAACTAACTCTCGGTCCTCTAATGACCTTAAGGCTTTGACACCTTGAAAGCAATGATTTTCTACGCAATTTCTTTCTACACAATATATACTGTACTTGGCTCCTGAAAGCTTCGAAAGGTGAAGCAGCTACAAATCCTGTTCTGCTCACCGTTGAACCTACTGTAATCCTTCTAATAACAGGATTCTCGTGAAGATTATAAGTTCGTGTATAAGACATGAACAATATGGTACACAAGCTCTCCGGAAGAAATATCGAGAGGACACCGAGGGTTTCACTTCTCCCATGAATTAGGGCACTGACCCTCAACAGGATGTAGGCTTGATCCATCTGAGGAAGCTCATATTGCGGCCCACATTATGTTGGTGATACCAACGTATGAAGTAATTGGATAACACAACTCCTAGTAAAGCCGATCCATAGGCCGCTGTCGCTGCTTGGGCACAAGCCAAGCAGAAAAAGGGCTTGGCCTATGGTAAAACATGATTAATACAAGTCAGCTAGCGGCGGGTGATGTCACCTTGAACAAGAAAGTTGGTTTGATCCACCGCTCGACTTCTTCTGCCGATCCTGATTCCTCTTCGACAGTTTCTTTTCTGATAAACGAAGGAACTCCTGGCCTCGTGAAAGAAGACCATGGCTTCTGTGTTTCAGGAGACACCTTCGTGTCACCGTCTTGTTCTTCTGTATTGGCAAGGCTAATAAACTCTGCGAGTTCCTCGTCGACAACTTTCTCTTCCTTGACAGGAAGGTCGTCTTCAGGTACCGAACTAGCAGCAGCACAATTTTCATTAACTGACTTTCCACCAGTTTCTGAGTCAGTGGAACAAAAATATCTTCTCTTGCGCTTAAGGCCTAGTTTTCGAGTTATTGCTATTTCGACCTTCCCTTTCTTCTTGGGATGATGAAACTTGCAAGTAGCCTGATCAGAGCACTCTCCTGTAGCTGCATGAGTGGGACACACATACGTGTGTTTCTTGTTGCACTGAATCATCCAGGACAAAACACATAAACAAGCGGAATATTTATCACCGCCAAAACATTGGATGAAAAATCTACAAGCTATTCATAGACGAACTAAGTTTTGTGTCCGATGATCGTAATATTGAAATGACCTTGACCTTGACCTTGACCTTGACCTTGACCACGAGTAACAATGCAAGTTGAACGATAAAACCTGATTTTAGAACCACAAATGATGACCCAAATGACAGTACCTTCTCCCCGTCTTTGCAGTAACCTCGAAGAAAACCATCACAGTAAGGAGCCTTGGGATTGACGTTCACATGTCTGTAAGGACAGCTCTCATTTGTACATAGACCTGCCAAACGTACGTGGCTCTCGTCAAGATCATTTCTTAGCTTAGGCGGCTTGTTTCAAAGTTCATCTTCAACTGAAATCATACTCTCTATTGGTGCACAAGATAAGAAGATAGTACCTTCAAGAAAGAAGGAACAATCTGGCATACGTTCTGGTATTACCTGCAACGGAAGAAGCAACCGTGATCAAGGCTTGTTCCAAACCGCAAATGTGAAGAAAAACATGCAAAACACATCATAGGAACTTACATACTCTTGAAAAAGGAGAACTAGGGTTAAGAAGAGGAGAAAGAGTAGGTAGAGATGAAAGTATAGAGGCGAGTTATTGAAAAACTTAATAAACAAGGCGTACATGAGCTTTTGAAACAGAAGCTGAGATACGCTGCACACTAAAACTAGCTAAAGGTAGACTTTTCGAGATAGAACTTTCGAAACCTGGTACTCAAACATTTTCCTTCTCACATGAATGAAAAGTAAGTCTGATCTCGTGACATTGGCAGGATAATACCTTGTGAGTCAACAGACACTGTTCATCAGTGCAATTTCCTTTGAGAAATTTCGTGCACACGGCGACTTTGTCTGGATCATGAATGTAAATGCACTTGCCATTCTCCTTGTTGCATTTACCAAATCTAGTGAAAAACTGACAATACTGTTGTTTCTTGGCACCCCGAGACCTTGCATGATGCAGACTCCACCGCACTTTCTCACTAGCCAGAGCTTGACTGGCAGCTTTTGGATCTCTAACAAGCTGATTGCCATTCCCAACTCTCAAGTAGCTGCATCATGGTTCAAAATGCTTTAATGATTGGTTTCATAAGGTTCACCGAGTCAAAACTGAATCAAAGTACGAACTAAAACCTTCCAAAGAAAGACTCTAGAAATAACAAAACAGCTCATCGTATACTCACACAGTCCCTCCGATGTAAGACCGTCTTGGAGTCAAGAGGGGTAAAGTTTTCGTGGGTCCAGATGACATAGCTGTTTCAGATTCTTCTTTAGTATCTGCGTTATATCACATTGACGATCAGTAAGTAAACTGGAAGGAGAGTACCATGTTGCGGGCAAAGAACATGAAAGCAAAATGAATTCACTATGTACCAGGTATTCGCTGCAGCGTTTTGGAAGACGCATCCATCTTGTATCTTACTAGTCCAACCCATACAATACGCTCCCCGGCACCTGTGAAACCACATGATTTCCAGTTTAATGTACGAGAGCTATGGTAATGACCATCCTAAATCATTTAAAAACTGATGCATTCTTGGGTCTAGGATGTAACGATAGACCCAAGAACAAGAAGTCCAATCTACTAGAAAGGAAAAAAGACGAGTAAAAGCTATAAAATTGACAGTCACAACGGAGCCGAATTAAAGACCAGAGGAGTTTGACGTCTCCCAAGCATGCAGCTGAGTCAGAGAACGGCATATAACGCTGTCCATGTAAGCTGGTTTGGAAAGAAGTATAGATCACTTCCACCACTGAAATGCGAGATCCAATTTCAGAGTTTGTGGTTAAAACAGTGAACCTTTGTGAGTCCACTGTGAAAGCTGTGAAGGAGACAGACAAAGTAAGACATGCCTTCTGAAAAGTAGGGAAGGATCGTCTTACGAGAGGTTGAAAGTAAGAAATGAGCATGCAGGTAAGTTGAAAAGTTTGGCTGAAGAAGTTTGAAGGATAAGCAACATCCGGATTAGAAAGCTGGGCTTTGTTTGTGCTGAAATTCTTCAGATGTAAATTGCCTGAAAGAATTAGAGAACGCCCTCATTCAGTCTGTAGTTCAGGCCTTCTTGACAAAAGAACATAGCGGTTGGCAAAACCTTTACGTCGGATATATAGCTAGTCCATCTATCAACCAGATTGTCTGATGATCCAAGAGATAGTAACGTCTGCAGATTAGACAATCTTTGTATAGGGAACTGCAGTGGCACAATATATTAAGTCTTTGAATTAGTGGAGACAGTTGTCTCTGGAACTTAACGCTTCCATGTGCTCAGTCAGTAATAAAGGTCTTGCTTATGGTCAACTATGACCTCTCTAGTCCCTCTATGCCGTTCCAACATGTGAAAAGGGAGTTCTTCGAAAAACTTTTGCTCTCACAATTTTTCAAAACCAGTATCACTCATCAAAAGCCCAGTGTTTGTAACATGGACAGCTGTAACACGCTGCATGTAGTGCATAGACATACCTTTAGCAGCCTTGCGGGTGACCCTTCTATCGCTTTTCGCTTTAACCACGGCGTCAACGACAGCATCTTTCTTCTCTCTTTTCCTACTCTCCGCTGCTGCGACGGCCTTTGTCGCTGCCTGGATGATAAGAACTAAAAGCGTAAGCGAAAGAGGAACTAATATCTTCAAGTGGTCTCATATACTTGCGTCACAAAATTCCATGCACGATCTGACTACTGAAAAGCATCGCACAAATCGAGAAACGTGAAGCAGCTCACAATATTTAAAATTTCCATGTTCAGAGGATCACTACGAAAGCAACACGAGAGGCATCTGCATACTTATGATTACAACGTTGACAATGAAGGTGCAATATTTAGAACTGACCTCGCTAGCAAGCTTCGCACGTTTTTCCAGAGATTTTGTCCATTTCAAGTTGCCACCACCGAGACTCATAACACCTGATCGATGTAATGAGAACCCATCCGCTGAGCGCGTATATACAGGCTGAACTGGACGCACTCTGCGCAATCTTTCGCTGAGGACCCAATTCATGGTCACACACTACACGTTAGGAATATACAATAAGAAGCATCTTCGGTAGTCACTTGCATAGACCAGCAATGTGGAGAGGGCTTCGAGATTGATTAACATTACAGGAAATAAAATTTGTGAAAGAGCCCCACTGGAGCAGTGCAACTTGACCAGAGGGTTCTGTTGTCAATACCTCATGACAAACAGCAGAGAGCCTTTCTTTCCCTCAGGCAGAGTTCTGTTTCTGCGTGACCTGATACTGGTCGTGAGGCTGTGCCTCTTCCAAGGAAACAACGATGGTGCTGGTTTCCGCACATGCCCACTACTAGTATCCAAGTCATGACTTACGGTTGCACCGCTTAATGTCCATACCCAGGATGAACGCCCTGTAAGCCCTTTTTTTTGTCTCAACACTGCTATGACAAAGAGGTGTTGTCAATTGACAGAATCAAATAAGGCACACAAAGAGTCAAATGAAATGCACCATCAGGCCGGAAAAACGGAATGTGTTCCCATCAAGCAGTCAAATAAAATGTGCATCTAGGACTCGAAGCAAAGTTAGTTCGTTTCATAGAAGGTAAGCAAGAGACCGACTGGACATGCTCGTCAGTTGGAACAAAGATTCTGATCGGGCAGTTAAAGAGGAAATAATGACCTCTGCCCAGCCTCATTTTCTTGTAAAGAATGGAATTACGGCTCCCTTGCTCTGTGAGATCCTTTGGCGGCCCATTCCCAAGAAGAGCCTGTACGAAACTTGAATTTCCATTTCCTTTGAGAACACTGTTTCGGACCAGTTGATTGGTTTTTCTCTTGATGTATAAGTCTGGCATGAGCTGCTTGTTGGCAGCTTGATTTTCTGCAAGCGACATGTCAACAGGTTGTGGACACGGAGCGACAACAAGTTGATTTGCTTTCCTACGGACGTACACCATATTGTTCGGTCCAGGAAGGAGATTAACAGAATTGCTCGGTATAACCACGGGAAGCGTCTTAGCGCCGGGGGACGTGTTACTCGCTTCTGCTATATTATCACCGAAGTCGTCACCGACAGGTATTTGAAGTCTTGAGCCTGTTCCAATTTGCGGCAATGTAGATGCTGATAATACAAAACCTGTTTTCATAAGAGATCCGACCCCTAACGCACCTTGAGGTGGAGTTTTGGGCCTACCCGAAGAAATGCCTGTTTCTGAGACAGGCCCATTGTTGCCCTGGGAAAGGCCACCACTGGGTACAATGGCAGACCTGGGCACAGGTGCAATAGCGCCAGCACTCTCAGATGAAGGAACCAAGGATTTTCTGAGAGCTGGCTGCAAACTCTTCGCATTGTCATGAGTTGGAAAAAAAGTATTCCTGAAAATAGGAGGCTTTTGGGATGGACCCTGATTGACCATCGTAGGCCTCATCTGTCCAAGCATACTGGGAGGAGGAGCTCCCGAAGGCAAAGTGACAGCTCCTGGCGCTCTTACAAGGCTGTTACCTTTACGGACATACGCAGCTCCCTGAGTACCTCTGCCTCTAGCAACAGCAGGTTGAGGGACTCCGCCAGTGGCTGAAGGGGTGCTCCTGAATCCCATCACTGAGTTGGCTGGCGTAGCGCTAGAGGTACCACCACATCGCAGCCATGTATGAGCTCCAGCTACACGGGATGAGCTTTGCTGTCGAACTATAGGAGGCGCACCCTTTGGTAGAGGTGCTGCTGTCACAACCTGTTTTTCCTGCTGTAAATTTACTTCACTAGACTGAGCTTGCACCTCGGAAGCATCTTGAGGTGCAATCGGATCGGCTAATTGTGGATCCTCAAGTGAGAGAGATGATTGTTCTTTAGTTTCCGCTAAATTTTTTGCGTGCACTGCTTCCTCAATAGTTCCCATACATGAAACTGCCTCGGCAGCCTGAGCCACGGCCGTGTCTTGAGGCGCAGCTGGTTCCTTTATCCGCTGTGAAGGATCGGCAGGCTGCACATCCTCAGCTGCTGCGGCTGCCACGGCTAAAACCGTGCGAATTTCAGGCTCAGCAGGCTTCACAGGCTTCACAACAGCATCCATGGTCTTTGATGAAGGCTCAACCCGTTCCAATACTGGCGCAACCAAATTTGCTCCAAAAAGTCGAACTTCCTTCGGTGCGGATGGTGTGACCAGGGTCAATTCTGCTTTCTCCTCCTCGTGCCCTCGGAAGTGATTTACGATCGCAAGGTTTCGAACTTCCTTTTCTTTTTCGAAAACTCCAGATACATCAGAAGTAGTAGATAATGAGAGCGCTTGACTAAACTCGGCGAGCTCAGCCGGCTCACGTAAAGACTTGATGACAGGTTGTACAGAAGGTAAGCACATAGACAGAATACTTGGGCCGGCGCTCGGCTTTCTAAGAGTTTCACAATGTTTGGCAAAGCTTCTCATCTTATTCTCGAACACGTTCCATTGAGGAGAACCGGGCGACCCCTCGGGAGCAACGATGAACTGAGACGTCCGGTTCCTTGCCTCTGTGAGTTCAAGCCTCCGTGCAGTGTCAGCTAGGGGCACTTTCGACAACATAGGTGCAATACATTTCCTGCAATCGGGCTTTTCCAAAGACATTTTCGCTGATTCTGAAATTCTCGGCCCTACCAGCCCAGGAAACTCCTTCAATTGAAGGTCGGCCTGAGGAGAAGAAGCTTCCTTAGAGCTTTGGTCGGACTTGTGCCCAGTGAAGATCAATTTCGGTGCGGGTCTGCAACCAGGAGACTGCTCGGTAACTTCAATAGAGAGATCAGTGGCTGTCACAGGAGCAGAGGGAGCCAACAGATCGGCCGTGGACAGACCTCCAGGCCCCTCCAGGCGCAGCTGCAGATTGTCAGCAGCTTTGTGCATCATGATGTTCCTGGAGTCTCGCAGCAGATTGTCCGAAGGCCCCACTTTCTGAAGGGGCGAATACACATTCTTGATACCATTTGGAGAAATGCTAATCGAGGGATACCTCGTCTGCACAGCCTCGTCCGAGTCCCCTTTGGAGCCGTCGGGGATCTGAAGCTTTAACAATCGTGCACTGAGCTGGGAATTTAGCTCCTCCCTCGTCGCTTGAACCTTGCCGGCCTTTCCTGAAAGAGTTCGTAAACTTGTGGGCGTGGTCGAGGTCTTTTCTTCGACGACGACGACTGCCCCTAAACTGGCAACAACTTGCTTCGAGACGAGAGGCCTCTCGGAGCCGCCGTCCACGACAACAAGACGATCGGATTTCACCTTCCCACCGACACTTTTGGTCGTGTGAGGAGGAGGCGCACCACTGCTGGCGCTCGCTAATACAGCTTTGCTATTATTCTTGTCGTGGCCGAGCATCTCCGCCCTGAGTCGAGGCTTGGGGGCCAAAGAAGAATCGGGGGGCTTGGGAGTGCTCAGCCGAGATAAAACTGGAGCGCGCGGGCGCAATTCGGGCTCTCCATGGGCGTCGCTCAGAGGAATGATTTCTTTTTTGATTTGGTGCGGGGGCAGCAGAGCCTGCCGCTCCTGAGGCGACGGAGAAGAGCCACGAGAGTGCCGAGAATTGCCGGGCTCCTTGGACAATTGAGACCCGACTAAACCTCTATCCTGGCCTGCTAACGACGACGACGACGACGACAACAACAATTGATCACACTCCTTACTCCTGTTCTCACTCAAACGCTCTATGTCCTTAATCGCGGAGTCCGATCCTCCGTCTCTGAGCCCTGCTCGTTCATGATAATGATGGTGCGAATGGCGACCGACATGGGCTCGCGATTTGGAAGAATCCTCGACTTTCACGGTGCGCTGGCCGTGTTTATGCACAGAAATGGTCATCTCGCGGGCCTCGCGGCCGTCCTTGGCCGTGCTTGCGGCATGTCTTGCGGACTTGAGCTTGAGGCCATCGTCCAACCTCGAGCCTTTCGATGGTCGCCCGTCCGGATCGGGGAGAATCCTCGACTTCCTCGTAGAAAAGTGATGCCTAACAGCCCTCTCCTGCAGTTGCTCCTCGTCGTGATGATGGTGGTGGTGGTGGTGGCGGTGAGGCCTCTTCCTGCGTTCGCTGACTTCATAATCCCTGTCCGCCCGCTCGGCTCTCTCCAGCGCTCTCGCTTCCGCATGCCTGCTGCTGCTGCTGCTGCGAGGGTCCGAATCCTTGCCCGCTCTCCGCCGCACATGCGACGCATCGGATGCATTGGCTTCCACCCCGCCGAAAGACAATCTCTGCTGCTGCTGCTGCTGCTGCTGCTGATCGATCGATCGATCGTCCTTGCGTTCTCGCTTGGGAACGAGAATCTCGCCCTTGAATGGCCCTGCGCCCAGGAACGACTCGAGATCCCGTCCCGGTCTCGATGAGCTCGTCGGCGAAGGAGGCCGTCGCGTGGGAGAGTCGAGGCTCGATAGGAGTCTGGAAGAGAGCGGGGCCGGGGGCAGGGGCAGGGGCGGGGGCGGAGGTGGCGGTAGCGCTCTGCGGGACGGAGGAGGAGATTCGACGACCAGAATTCTAGCCCCTGCAGCCCCAGCCCCAACCCCAACCCCCCTGCTCGAGCACGGCCTCGACGGGAGCCCCGCATCGCTCCCTCCGCCCGCTCCTCCTCCTGCCGACGATGCTCTCGAAGCCCCTGGAGGTCTGGAGGCGCTCGACCGCGGTCGCAGCAGCAACGGATCTCGCCCGTCCTGGAACGGAGGAGCGATGGCGGACGGGGGCTCCTGAGACGGAGGGGCAGGGGCAGGGGTAGGGGTAAGGCGACGAGAGGCGGCTTCGAGCTCGGGTCGATAGAATCCCGGCGGCCCGAGGGGTTCCGCGCGGTGGTACGCGGGGATGCTCGATTGCGGAGGGGTAACCTGCCCCTCCTCGTGGTCCTCGTCGACGAAGCGCGAGCTGCCGTAGAGCGCTTGGGGCTGCTGCTGGGGCTGCGGCTGGGGCTGCAGATCGGGGTCGGGGGGCCGGCGCGGGCGCTGGTGCTGCAGCCGTTGGGGCCGATCGAACTCGCCGTCCTCGTCCCTGGGGCGCTTGCACGACATGATGACGGACTGGAACCCCGGGGGGATGGACGCATCGGCCGCGCCCTCTTGCGCCCGCGCGGCTGCTGACTGCCGGGCTCCGTAGCGGATCACCAGATCCGAGTCCCGCATGGCGCCCTCGTCCCAGCAGGCGAAGTGGGGATCGAGGGCTTGCAGCGGGGGGTTGCGGAAGGGCCTAGCCATGTCCGCCACGGGAGAGGGGCGGGGCTCGCCTTCGAGGGGCTTCTCGCCGAGCGAAGAATGGGCGAGCGGCAGGGGCAGGGGCAGAGGCGGGGGCTGGGGCTGGGGCTGGGGCAGAGGCGCGCGCACCACCACCTTCTTCAAATACTCTTTCTCGGCGATGATCTTCTCGTGGGAAGCACGATACGCGTTCTTCAGTTGGTGGTCGCGCTCGATGAGCTTCTCGTGCGAGGCGCGCGAGGCGATGCGCAGGTACTCGCTCTCTGCCATCATTTTCTCGTGCGATACCCTAGACGCGAGCTTGAGGTGCTGCTGTTGCTGCTGCTCGGCGTTGCGCAGATCGCTCATCTCCTCTCGGTGCCGCAGCCCGGCGAGGAAGTCGCCATCGACCACGAGGCCCGCCGTCCTGCGCCTCATGGCCTCGTGCACCACCTGCGCGGGATGCGATGGCCCTCCGTCCCACTCCTGCGGCTGGACCTGGACCTGCACCTGGACCTGGCAGGCCCGCTGCTGCGCGTGCAGCATGGCCGCAGGGATCAGGTGCTGCTGCTGCTGTTGCTGCTGCATGTGCTGCGCATTCATCCTCCGCCGCAGCATCACACCAGCCAGCGCTTGCTGCTGCTGCTGATGTTGATGTTGATGCTGGAGCTGCTGGAGCCCGTCCCAGACTACGGCCCCGGGGAGAGGCAGAATTCGGGCGAACTCGTCGTCCTCGCCGTCGAAGCGATTGGGCGGGCGGTTGAAGAGGCCGGGGTGCAGAGGCGGGCACCCGGGGCCCGGCGGCAGCCCAAGACCCTGCTGCTGCTGCTGCTGGATTAAAATTCGGTCCCTCCTGTCCCTGAGCACCATAATCCCCCGCGGCATCGCCATCCTCTTCTTCCTCTTCTTCTCCACTTTATCCTAAACCTAAAACTCGTCCTGCTCCTGCTCCTGCTCGTCACGCTTTGGCCGTGTCCAAACCGCTCCTAAATGGTCGTACTCGTGATCCCAATTTCAATTCGTACTATGTACGCAAATCCGCTCCGTCGCTGCCTCGGCCGATACTGCCGTCTAATTTATCGTTACCTTAATCGTTCAAAGCGTGCCGTTGCCGCTACTAACTTCTACATTAAATTGCGCATTCGTCCATCGGAGCGACCGACCGAGCGCCTATCTAAGCATCGAGCCAGGCGGCCAGCCAGCCAGCCCGCCATCGATCGATGGATCGATCTAATTAATACCAGAGCGCAGGACTAATAAGAGCGCGAGTAATCACGACGGCGATCGGCGTTGCTGCCAGAGGGGGCAGACACCGACCGCGCAAGAGAGGAGGGCAGTGGATTTCCGATTCCATCACCATCACCATCACCAGCGACGTGACGGGAGCTCGTACTTCCCGTGCTCTCGTGTCTGACCGAGCGGGGGAATCAGCTGCTCGTCAACTGCCACGGACCCTCATTGCACATTGTCCTCCAACGGGCCTTCGGTTCATTCGTGCTGCTTTCACGGTCCGATCTGAGCCCAGCTCACATGCGCAAGCTTCTCCCTCGCGCTCCTGTCACTTTCTCGACAGATAGGTCCCAACCCCCCCTCCTCTCCCCCTCTCCCCCCTCGGGCTTGCGCTCGATGTCGCCCCAAAGAAGGGCAGCAAAGTCGCTCCAGCCTGCCAGCGGGGCAGGGCAGGCTGCAAACCCCCCATCGCCCCCCTGCACCGCTACCCCCAGCCCCCGAATCGAACACAAGCAGCTCCAACCACACCGCACCGGACCGGGCCGGTAAACGCTAGCCCCGACGCCCGAGACCCGAGCTCTCCCCGAGCAGAGTCCACCCGCACGGCCCGGGGCACGGTCCCCGAAAACGCACGGGGCCTAGTCTTTGGGCCGCTCTAGTCGTGGGGGTGACCGGCCGCCGGCAATAGGAGTGGGGCCGAGCCGAGCTAATATTTACCTTCGCTTCCGGGCCCCAGCCCCAGCCCCAGGCAGGGGACGGGCAATACCGTGGCTACCGAGCATATTCGCACTGCGGTCGAGGCCCCAATTCGAAGGACCCGGGGACCACGGAACGCAACGCATCGATTTGGACGTCATGGGCCCACCATCGCCCATTCAAATAATGGGCTTACCGGAAGTGGTCGGGAAGACTTGTCAATTTTTCCAGTCCGCCCCCGGCTCGGTGAGAGCAGCGGTTTCGCCTCTGATCTCGCTTCGTGGATGTAGGGTGAGTTCCTTACACTTGGTTGAGGTTTAGCTGAGTCCGGACCGGACCCTTCTTGGGACGCAACTTGGTTTCTCGTCCTTGGGCCTCCGGTCGAGTCAGCGGAAGGGGAGCGCCGTTCTCGCCGTGCACCTTCTGCACGAACGGAGTGCGAGGACGGAGGGCCAGTTCACGCTCGGCCTTGCTGACTAACCACGTAACCGGCAGCTTCCGCATTCATTACGCGTGATCTATTCGACATGTGGCCTAATCTCGTATTTAATATGATAATACCTCTTGGCATTAGCTCGGGTGCCGAAGCAAAGTCTGGGTCTTGTGGTGTTACTGCCCGATGCCTTGCTCAAGTGACGTGTAATTCATTCAACTCCAGATGTCTCGACTCTCCGGTCCATGGTTTATCATTATCATAACTACAGTATCTACTATATGCGGAGAAAACTATGACATTTTTTTCTTTGAAAACTGACATTATCTCAAAATTATATATCCCCCATGTGAATTTAAAACCAAAACACTGGAGAAGTGAATTATCCAGATTCTAGATCTTCGGATGTGACACTTCAAGCAGAGATATCTACGAGAAAACGTATCTTTAAATTAAAACTTGGCAGAATGTTACAGGGTACTCTATTGCAAGGATTATATTGCAATCCAACATTTGGGTATCTGAAAATGAAATTTTCACACATAAGCCAAACTTAGAATGTAATTAAGATAAGCTGTGAGTAGAGAATGATTTAGACATAAAGGCTCTTTTGAATGATACTCCAAACACTATATTTATTATCAATTTACAATAGATAAAGGTTGAAGAAGACAATGGGGGACTGCACTGCACTACGCTACCTTTATATGCTCCAAGATCACACAACGTTGCCATCGAGAATGTGACTAAATCTCACAATATAACCGAATCCTCGGATTGAAATCTGCCAAGTGTAAATGCGAAACCTTATAATACGATAGCACTTACTACTCATAAAATTAGTCTCCCTGATTTTTCAGCTAGTTTCCAATAAACCCAATAAAAATAAAGAAATGTGTAAAGAAAAAAACTTGAATTATGCGTATAATTTTTCCCAAAAGATTTATTATTGAAAATCTACAGTCTTCATAATCAGTTTCACTCGAGTTGAGATCGGAAAATAATAGTAATATCTTTTCACTTTTCATGTTCAATAGAAAAATATATATATACACATATTCATGCTAAATGCTGGAAAAAACACTAGCCTCTCCTTTGTTCATTGGGGCTTGTTGGTATCATTCCTCCGGAGTATAGCTCATGCAATGGACGTGTAAGATGCCTTGTATAAATCGTAAACGTATTTCCAGAATATATTATACTTATTGCGTCGAGTAATTTAATCGCCGCCGGGACGCACGGGACTACCTTACGATAGAGAAACTGACTTAAACTAACCCAACCCAACCCAACCAAACGTAGCCTGAACGCAAACTGCAATAAATGAGGCGACGAGAAGATCTAGGACACGTTCATCGGATAATGAGGTCCAGAAGGAGTGCGCGAGTGTTGTCCCTCATCAGGCCACTCCGCTGTCCTCCAGAGGGACAGTGTCATGGCCCGCCCCCATGAGGAGGAGCTCGTCTTCAAACGAAACACAGTCTGGATATGTCTGCTATGCCCAGACCTATGCCCCTGCATATGGACAGGCACGGAATGTGGAGCCATCATTACATTGCAGAGCATGCTCGAGCAGGCAGCCAGCCAGCCAGTGGGGAGCTCAGTGACGAGAATCTTCCAGTGCACACTATGATGGTACAGTACTGTCCCAATTCCACACTTACTTTCTCACTCTCTCACTCTCTTTCTCTCACTCTGTCTCTCGATGTCGATGTCGATTCAATCCCTGCCCCGCCACAGATTCCAATTTACAACAGACGGAAAAGGTGGAACCCTCTCCCTCACTCACTCGCTGGTGGTGCACAGAGGGCAGAATTAAAAGATGGACGATTATCTGAAGCTCGGGAGAGCTGCAATAAACAAACAAGGAATCGCTTTACAAGGCACGAGAAGGTGGTTCAGCGAGAGAGAGAGAGAGATTTGGGCCAGCGTCGTTGCTTGTGACTGAAGACTGATGGCCTCGAGCCAAGCGAACCACGTAACCCACAGTACCAAGTAACCATACGTGCCACGTACTGACGTCTCACGGATCACGATCTCCTCGCTTTCTTGTTTCGATCGACGACACAGTACGTCCGCTTGCTTCCTCTCCTCGTCTGTACCTGGTTACCAACTCCCCACGATCTTTCACTCGGAGACCGGAATACCTACAGTAGGGAGTCCTCGTCCTATGGTCACCGGCTAGAGTTGTCGCCTCCGCACAGAGCCGGTCGTTTTCCTGGCTTTTAATTCGGACAAGTCGGACCTTTCTGTAGTTTGACATGACGACACGTGGATTTTTTGGGTTTTTTTAAGATGCGGTGTAGGCTCTCTTCTTCAATTTCTATGGTGCTCAGTGAGTTCGTGTTTACTTTGCTGGAAACATTCAGAAGGTGGTCAAGTTGACGACTGTTAGAGGTCTTTCGATTGACCATGTTGGTCCTATTAGTGCTTGTACTGGTGATGCCATCCATCCAGATTTTTGCTCGAGCGAATCTACCTCCCATGAGAATTATTTCATGAGAATTTATAGTGAGGTTGAGTTTGAAGATAAAGGGAGGAAATCGATGAAGAAGTTTCGAATGCCCACATCTAGCCCTTCATTAGAGCTGGGTGTGATATACCACATATGGAAACCTGTGTACGAACCTATTTGGAAATGACGCACAAATACTTTCCTCTATCACTGCAAATTTTGTAACGAATCGCTCTAAGTACATCAATACCTTTGTTCATATTTCCACAGATACATATACGAAAGTCAAAGTTATCATCTAGTGGTGTATTTTATGATTCTTTGAGACTAGATTTTCATGATGCATGTTTATTCCATAAGGTCCTTGATGCAAGCATTTTTCTTACTGTTTGGTAGGTTGCCACATGATCTTTTAGACATAGAGGTTTTCTATTCATGATAACATTTAATGATTGTTTGATTAGAGATAATTTGTTGAAGTTAGATACATATCGTGGGTGGAGAATGACTTGTATAGTAGACTAGAAATAAATTATATATTTACTTGGTATGTGATAATCATTATAATTTTGCATGTGTGATTCGCAATCTTACGCATGATACAATTTTAATGCATAAACTCTTGGATTCATTGAGAATTGAACAGATATAGGGATGTGAAGAGTAATCTATTTGTTATTCTAGCCTGGAAGTCATGTAGAAATATCAAGAAGTACTTCAACATATGACAGACTGTGTGCGAAAGAGACCACATACTAAGCAGTGTGAAAATTATCATTTAAAAATTATGTTTTAATTCATCTTTCATTTTCTTTATATATCACTAGTATTTTTCTTCGGTTGCTATATTGATAGTAAATAGTTTGCCCTGGGAATATATAGTAGAGAGCAGAAAAACGCATTTTTCCTTATTGATCCATGCTGATCGTTTGGATTCACTTGAGTCCGCATAGATCCGAGCTATATATGTCCCACAATTTTACTATATCACCTGGTGCCCACTGCCCCTGCCACTAATTTATCATTTGGCTCTTGGACTTTTATTTGGCATCGAGCGACGAGTTCGGGAGACGACGTGGCACTTACTGAATAGATTCACTCTGACGTCAACGAGGTTGCAGAGTCAATGAGAGGAGCCCAGGCAGGGACAATACGAGACGTCATTGGGCGAAATCCACCGACTTGCTGCAGATGATTACGACATGACGTTGCGGGCTGTCGGGTCCGTTGAAATCTGTGATTATGAGAGTGTACTTTATTCTGCCATTGGAGCGGAGAGTTGTCCCCATCTCCAACTTCCGCCACCTGAGCTCAAGCCGAGAGAGAGAGAAGAAGAAGAAGAAGAAAAGCTTTGATCGAATTTGCGAGCTGAAACTCCAACGAGCAGTGGCAGCTTGACTTCCGAGCGACGGTCTAGACAATGATCCTTGTCGAGAAGTTGAAACTAGTCGGAGATCTGGCGATTTTGGGACTCTTGATGATGACTAGACAGTGTAAAGTTTTCAGGCCCATACTGCTCGTGCATCATGCGTGAATCATGCGATTTTGCTCGAAAGGAAACAGAGCGGGGCAAAATTATTCGATGCAAGTACACAAACAGTTGACATGATCTGGAATTCCTCGATGTTTCAAGCTTAGCTCCTCCTTTCTAGTGTAACCAAATGAATGCAATACAACGCAGCCACAAATTCTTGTAGATCCACAGATGTTGTGCCACATGAGCAGAGCAGAGCCTTGCAAGTTTGACGTTGAAGATTGTGTATGTGAGCTTCCCGTCCACTGTGACAAGAGGGCTTCCTACCCGCCCTTCACTAGATTCAACACGCTTGTATTCCATGCTTGTTCTCAGAATACATCCATGAGCTGTACGGTACAACAGCAAAACTTCACAATAGTACTGTACATCAGCTTCAAGTTAGTAGCAGGGAAGATAGACATGATCAAAGATCTGTGTTATGGCATCGAAACATTCTCCGCCATGATGATTGTTTTTCTGTTAGTGCAAATGATGCTCTCCGTTTTTTGCTGTCAGCTTGCGCTCGCACTGGACTCAGCAAAAAGATGTGCCTGTACAGTGTGCGTGGGTTGACCGCCAGCAACCAAAAGTGCTAGAAGCTCTTGCAGCCATCAGTTAACCATTGCCATGATCAAGTCATTTTGATTACTGTACATGGCAGGACAGAAAGTGTCCTCCCATGTCATACATTCAAGCCTCGGGATTTCTCCGGTTCTCATCAACACAGCTGGACCTCATATACGTGTGCGGTAAAAAACCATGTTGCCTTTTTTAGGGTGGTGGTGATAGACAGACGAGATCATCATCTTGCCAAAATTTTGTCTCGGTAGGGACTTCGACTCAGTGATTCAGTCCATAATCACGACCGAATACTGTGCCAGGATGACGACTTCATCAATAAACGCATACCTTTTTATTTTTAGTCTGGTGAAAGATTTCCTATCGTCGTAAATGACAGATCAAAACTTTACAAGTCGAAATACGAAAAGAGTGTAAACTGCCAACCACTTTAACGTTCAGATAAGAAGAACTTGCGCTCGTTCTCAACAAAATTGTCACCTCTCGAAGGATGTCGTAAAAGCATAAAATACACGCCACGCTGAGATACAGCAGCCCGTAACATGTGACCAGAAACGTCGCAAGGAGGGTCCCTTATCTCAAAATGACTTAGATACTATTTCAGCCCTCAAAAAGCGTTCTCAAAATCTCTTCTCATACACATCTGTCATATCTCGAGTTGGTAACTTAGGGCCCACTTCCTGAATACACAGTACTGTACTACCAAGTAGACATATTGTTGTAGCAGTTCTATTCAAGCTTGGCAGGTGCTGCTATGATCCAGAATTTCGAAGTGAAATAGGTCTACCAAGGGTGGCAATGGCCCTCCCCTACAACTATTTACACTCTTGAGACCTTGATTCAGTCGTCTCTAGAACCCTGTGCTCGTACGGAAAAAACGGCTTGAAAGTTCTTACTCGACAACATAAGACATTCGAAGAATTACTCTTGTTCATCTGTACAATTGGACTGTCTTAACTACAACTTCAGTGCCTTGGAAACACTGGGAAGCAACTTAACTTTACCAACCAGTTTTCCATAAAACGGTTGACTGACTAGAGGAGGATAGGCAGCTGTTGATCCCACTTGTGGGAGACGAGATTTGTTAGATGGACGGCTGGATGCTGTAAGCTCTGCCAGGCACTTTTGAGATAGGTCTTTCCAGTTCCCGTTGAAAGCTTGTAAAGCATCTGATCCACAAAAATTGCGCGTCAGCTACGAACGTTCGGCATTCAAGCCATGCACTTAAAAGATTGAAATGTACACGTGTAAAATCGAATAATTCAAGCAGGATCATACCTGAAGGCTCCTGTGAAGATTCCTGTGGAGTTGCCTGCTCAGGCTTCGTATACAGCATCCTCTGAAATCGCCAAGAATTCTCGACGGTCTCTTTCTCCATCTTCTCTCGTATGTGATTTCTCCTTCGTCTCGCACCCCTAACTCGTTTCGTGCCACTGTTGGTCAATAAGCATGGAATAGCCTGAGCTCCGGAAGGCATGCTCAGAAACATTTTATCAGGTCTATGCACCTGTTTAGGTTCTGATTTTCTGGATTTCTCAAAAATCCTCTCCCTGAAACTTAAGATCATTGTAGTATTTGATGACTCGTAAGGTTTCCCTGTAATTCTATTTCCGTAACTTCCAACTGCCAAATCCTGGTGCTTTCTAGCTGTGTTTTGTGCTTTCGTGTCTAACGTAGAAGATGAATCTTCCTGTAGAAGAGCATCAGAGCCCTTTAAATTAAGCCTCTTAATCCGGGACTCTACACGACGTGCATTAGCTGAAGACAATTTAAGAGGAGCTGACTTTGCTGAATGCCCACTGGTGATTTCAAGGGTTTTGGATTCTTGGGAAAGAACAGGCGTACTTAGTTTCCCAACAGCCCCACCTTCAGATTCGTCTAGCTTTTGTAGAGCGAATTCCTCTGCTGCCTCAGTTGTCCATATAGGTACGTGATTAGGCTTGTGAAGCAACGAGGCAAAATCCTGCGTGGGATTATAGGAACCGAACTTGGGTCTGGTACATGGGTACTTGCCCAGATACAGGTGAGATTGGACAGGCGGAACAACTGTTTCTCTCAACTTCTCCGTACTAATCGCTGCTGAGGCTCGTCCCAGCATGAACCCACTGAGTCCAAAAAGTGGCATAACACCGACCCTGTCGATGTGAAACCATGAACCAAATTAGTCCAACACATGCATCACTACATTCAGGGGCATGAAATGCAAATGTAATAGACACCAGAGCCATTAGATGTAGGCGTGAACGTTGTTTTGGACCTAGAAAAGTGTTGGGCGGTCGCAAATAAACAAAAACAAAAAAGCTTACCCTTCACAAAACCAGCAGGGATTATTGGCCCCTGATTTTCTACTCCAATCCCATAGTCTTCTAGGATTGAGCAGGCCTGAACCTCTGCACCTGGGACAGTTACGTCGTTCTCCATCGGCTTTCTCGAGAAGACTCGTGACATCTCTTGCAAAATCAAGTCCTTTCTCGAACTGCATTGCAACATAACAGTGTGACTCCACTAAACTTGATGACATTTTAGGAATCTGTATTTCGTACTATGCTTGGACACTTAACGATATGTTTGTCTCTTCCAGTACGGTCGACTTTAAAATATGTGATAAGAGATCACAGGAGTATGAAATAAGAAAAAAAGAAGCAGGAACAACGACGAGGATGGAACATACAGGAGAGAACAATGAGGCTCTTAGGTCCGAAACCAAGTCAATTGCACGTGGGAATTGACTTGGTTTCTCTTTGATCTAGTAAAAAATCCAAAATCCAAAAAAATGTGGCGCACAAAACAAAGACGACTGAACTGAAAACAAATGAATAGATTAGAGAAATCACTAATTGAAGGTAACCAGAACCCCATGCATGCTGGTTGGTATGCAGATAAGTAGTCTGTAGACATACGAAACAAGTCGGTAATGGATGATCAAGTTGTATTTACGATATGTAAGCTCACCAACACTCCTCAGCAACCAACCACAAAGGCATCTACAAAAGAAAAATCAGCTCCAACATATGGCTGTCGATAGGTGCTTTGAAGCAGTAACTCATATACGTAACTTCTAGAAGCAAGTCCTAAACCCAAAGTGGTGCTTGAAAGCAAGCACCTACAAGCTTCGAACTCACTAAAAGTGGAAAACAGTCACGTGTATTTCTCAGGAATGTGAAGAATACATGAATGTTCAGACATTCAAAGCATAATTGTCTAAGTCCTACTTCTATAAATCAACCAGAGAGACAAACATGCGAAACTTACCAAGTCCTTCATTTATTGCGGATGAGTTGCGGTCCCTGTCAGATCATGGAAAGTCCATCGCGCAGAGGTGCACTTTGCAAACATAACCCGCTGGGCCCGAGCAGGTATGCCGATCTTCAGCCCGGTGAAACAAGAAGCTAGACGAGCTCTCCATTACATGCAATTATGAGGTTCATGCACGCGGTACCACTCATCAACCGCACTCAACTCAATACGGTCCGGACAATTCTAACCAATGCACTCAGCTGAACTGATAGTTTTCCGCCTCCGCGAAAACGAAGGTTGTCACTTCCTCAACCGCCGACAGAAATCTGTACCACGGAAATTCACTGAAATTATTGACAACGCAAGCGGGGTAAATTAATTGCATCCAGAACGATTTTTCCAAACACGCCCTTAACAACAGGGCGCCGCAGATAATCTCTCCAATACCCATCTCAGCAATCTCTAATCGGTCCCGACATCGAATTTTTCCTCAGACGGAGAAGCTCTCCCTCACTCGCCACCACACAACCCCACACCCTACTCTAACACCAACAACTCAAAGAAGACAAGATCTTCAATTTTCCGCACTTTGAAGGTCTCACAAGCCGCCCAACACAACCTCAGCGGCTTCTGCCTCAAACGAGCACCCGACCATCGCTACAGCGAAATTCCCCCCGGCCAATTCACTCTCGCAAAGGCAAGGCAAGGCAGTCAAGACGAGGCAAGACGAGGCGAGGCAATCCCACCCCACCCCACCCCATCCCCAAGAGGACACAGCGGCCAGCGAAGTGCAGCGCGTCGCTCGTATATCAATTGTCCCCCGATCGAGGAACGATCAGCTCCTGCGGAAACAGAGGACCCACCTGCACTGAGGGATTCGACGGATTCCGAATTTCGCGACGGCGATCAGCGCGTGCCATGGACGAGAACCAGAATCTGCTTCCCCGTTCCGTCGAGCATGAATCGATTAGGGTACCTGCCTTCTGCTGCTCCTGCTGCTCCTCTGCTCTGCTCTGCTGCTCCGGGCGTCATCTGCGCACGCGGGCCCCCGACTCTCTCGTGCTTTCGGGCCCTCGAAAGGGCTGCCGCATCCGCATCCGCATTTCGGCCAGAGAATATGCGGCATCGACAGCTGCGATCTCGCGAGCGGCGCTCATCCAGTGGCCGGCCCCAGTTCCCGAACGGAGCTGTTCCCTCACGGAGCCGCGCGCTGACTGGACTGTCCACGCAGGACTCGAACTCGCGGCCTGGCCTTGCTTTCCGGGCTCGGGGCTCCGGATTGGTCCATGAACGTCCGGATGAGAAGCATCCGTCCATGCCATTCGTGCAGAGCGTGCATACGTGGCGTCCAGTAATCCTTTCTGCGGCTGACACTGGAGGAGTACGGTGCTCCATCTTTTCCTCCCCCTGGTGACACTTTCCTTGAATCACGATGCGGATTATTAATGCGTCGTTTTCATGTTGGATCGTTTTTAATTAGAGGGAGACTAAATGGATTGTTCTCTTAGTTACTACACGATCCCTTAAGTACCTAAATCTCACACCTTGAACATCGTTGGCTCTGTGATTGATTACCTAGTTGGAAATTTTTGTAGTTTAATTAGAACGTCATAAGTCATTTTCAAAGTCAAACACAATTTCGCATTAATTGCCGCAAGCGAGTTGTGATCATGCATGTGGTATTGACTACTTACAGATAATATGTGTAGATTGGGTTATATTTTCTAGCTTTAGTGTCACTTTTACTCATGAAGGAACTTGATACATCAGTTTTGGTGTATTATAGTACCTTAATAGTTAAGCATGACTGTAACACTTTGGTTGCGCACATGATGAGTTGATCATAAAGCTAACTTTTCAAAGGTTACACCTGTTGTATTATTTGGTCAGTTTGCATACTAAGGGTAGTGAGAGGTGCTAGCATACCATGTACGTTGTATATGAGCTCGTGTGAGAAGCAAGTTTCCAAGTCCATGACCATTCTTTGGAGTCTCTCGTGCACCTCATGATAAGATCAGACTTGCTTATACAAGCATATTCAATAATACTTGATATCGTGGACAAGTAAAATCTTTTTTTTTCTTTGATATCCAAAAAGATGTCCTCTTCAAACAAGTACAGCATGCTTGACATATGAAAATAGTCGCCTTGTTTGAAGTTTGAAGTTTATGAGCATGAGATGGGCTTACATAGAAAAAGTATATTTAATCATGATATTCTCTCATGTGTACAAGTATGAATGCCTTCATTCATTATTCTATAGTTTGTCATAGTGAGGAGATTTTTTAATCTTTACGCAATCTAGATCAAGTACAAGAAGATATCATAGAAGCTTTTACTGTATAAGCTAGAGTTGCTATTCTGTCTTGATAGAGGATTCTGCACATTCTTCTTTTAGAGTTTTGAACTTGTAGTACAAGCATCTTTGTAATCTATTTCATGTGCATAATAGCCTAATGATCACATTGATTCTCAAAAAAGAATTTTGTTTATAACAAGTTGTCATATGTTGGAGCTATTAGGCTTTTTTAATAAAAAATATTGTAATGTATTATATTCATTTTCATTATGAGGTTTTATTACATTTTCTTAGTTATCTAGTGTTTTTGCATCATTCATACCTCAAATAGCATATTGGCTTGATGTATCCATATGATAAAGTTGTGAAGCAATATCCATAGTTATGAAAGAATATCCATTCATCTTGTCTTGTCTTGCAAGTGAAAGTTGAAGTACTTTTTCTAATTGATTATTGCATGAATCCATCTTTTGAGTTTAGTCGAATCTTTATTGAAGAATACAAATTTTTTTAAATTTTTTTCAACTTCTTGTGTTTCTTTCAACATGACATTTCACACGATTAAGTTTAAATTTATAGGTTTGATACTAAATGAACAGATTTTTACAAAATACCCCTATTTGTTATGGCAATTTATAAAGATCAGATATTAGTAATCTGATTGTACTAGTTTGTGTGATCTTTTTCATGATATACATATTGTGTCATTCAGATCACGTTGGTTATATATATGATAAGAATCAAAACTTCATCTTGCTGATTTTTTGGAGTGTAAATCTTGTTATATATTGTACATTTTTCTTTATATTTAGCTTTTAGGGGGTTGAATGCCGTATCGATAGCTATATTAAATGACATGTGATTAAACTAGAATTGTGGACTTGCAAATTTGGACAACTTGCATGGAATTTGGTTTTCTATAGATCAATCACATTCTTACAAGGATTGATAGATGGATAGAATGTAGTCAATTAATCTATGTTTTTATCATTATAAAAACAAGAGTAAAATTTTGCTAGAGTTTCAACATTAGCTTTACTCTTTTAACTTTTCTCCCTTATGATAGCTTAAATATAGTATTCGCCTTGATACAATTATAATATGAACATGCTGGACATTTAATCCTACTGGATTTGACCATTTTTTTACTGCAGTTCACTATGTTTTTTTTTTGGCAAGATGCATGATTGTTGAGTTTAATTCCAATTGAGAAATCTCGGATCATTGCTATTTAAAGCTAGGACAGTCGCCTAGAATGGAATTAAATACCCTTGCTTTTGCCCTGTATATGAAGTATTTTCTTGAGTAGATCTAGAATAAAGCATTGCTTGTTTTTGGTGAACATTGACCTACTTTTGAACCACGTTATTTTTGTCTTTTTTGTTAGTGGCTTGACTTGATTGATCTCACTGAGTTTTACCGTTTCCAATTATTATCGGACTAACAAAGATTTTATCCGTAAAAAATATTTTATTCATAAATATGTTGACCACAAGAATCTTTGTTGTAATATAGGCACATTGGACATTGTTAAAAAGCTTTCGACGCCATGAGTGCATCTAGATCATTTTCAAGAGCTGATAGATGATTCATGAGAAAGAAATTGCCGCAAAAGTTGATTTTGTATCTAAGTTTATTGACGTGCTGACGGATAACATGATAGGTCGGAGGATCTGAACCGAGAAGAACGATCTCCTAGATGACGACCTATGATTCTTATGAGTTACATGCTATGAGATCTAGTAGCTTGTAAGTTTCTTGTCAACGTGATGTTTTTTTCAATAAGTCCTAGATCATTTTAAGAGGAGTAGAGTCATCAAGCTTTCTGTACAGACAAGAGAAAATCTCATTCATGGTTGAGTTTCATCATTATATGGTTAATGATAAAAAAAAACACCTCTATTGGTGGAGTTTCTAAACATATGATTGAGATTATCAAGATTAACGTTAGACTCTGATGATTGAGCTAGTTTATTTTGACAATAAACTCTAGTGATTAAGCTAGTCAAGATTGACGATAAACTCTGGTGATTGAGTTAGCCAAGATTGACGATAAATACTGATGATTGAGCCTGTTAAGATTGAAAATAAACTTTGATGATTGAGCTAGTTAAGATTGATGATAAATTTTTATGATTGAGCTAGTCAAGATTGACAGTATACTTAAACCAGCTGATGAATTGGTCAAAGTTATTTCTTTGAAGAGTTTCAGACGACATTGTGCTATCATGCAGGTTGTGCATGGAAAGTACAAGTAGAGTTTGCTTACATAGTATTTTCAATTATCTCTTTATATATTTACTCTATCATGTGATGACTGCGACTTAGTTCTAATTAACTCTCATGTAAAGAGTAGTCTTGTATTAGGTTTCTTTCTAAAACTTCCCGTAGTGTAATATAGGTTACAAAAATTCTATCCCTCTCTGCTAGCAGGTATTTTGTTGACTATTTATGTTTATTTATTAGGTTTCTTTCTAGAACTTTCTGTGGAATAATCATATAGATTATGAGATTTTTGTTTCCTCTATGCTAGTAGATTTTTAATTATCTCTTTATGTTAATATTCTATCATGTGATAACTGCGACTTAATTCTAATTAACTCTTGTGTAAAGAGTAATCTTGTATTAGATTTCTTTCTAAAACTTCCCGCAGTGTAATATAGGTTACAAAATTCTATTCCCTCTCTGCTAGCAGGTTTATAGTTGACTCTTTATGTCTATTTATTAGGTTTCTGTTTAGAACTTTCTATGGAGTAATCATATAGATTATGAGATTTTTGTTTCCTCTATGCTAGTAGGTTTTTAATTATCTCTTTATGTTAATATTCAAAAATATTCTTTATTTGTTAATATGCAACGGCTTAGTTCTTTTGTGTAAAGAGCACTATTGTGTTGTGTGAGGTTTATGTCTACAATTTCATGTGGAGTACTCATGTAGATTTTAGTAGATTTTTGTGTAAAGAGAAGTCTTGTGTTGTGTGAGGTTTTTGTCTAGAACTTTTCATAGAGTAATAATATAAGTTATAGAGTTTATTGATTCCTGAACGCGAGTTAAGGGGAAGATTGTTGAGGTTAACTCCAGTTAAGGAGTAACCTTGGATCATAGATATTTGTAGATAGTACTATCGCCTTTTGCCATGTAACCGAAATATTTTCTTGAGAAGATATGGAGTAAAACATTGCTTGTTCTTGGTGGACGTAGCACTCCTTTTGATTGTGAACCATGTTATTTCTGTCTCTTGTGTTGATGGCTTGGCTTGATTGTCTCATTGAGTTTTACCGTTAATAATTATCTCCAAAACTTGTTTCAACAATGCATCAAGGCCTTTTGACTCATATTTTTCAATTTTATTTTGTACATCAATGAATAATTTTTATTTCATAATCTGAATCTTTGTTTATCATGTTAGAGTATGACAGCATTTCAATGCTTAGTGTATTTATACGAAAATAGTTAGGCATGCAATCATTATGAGAAGGATGTAGTGTTTGCTATGCTGTAAGAAAGTGGAATTCCAACGTTGGTTTGGCTTGAGGATTATTAAAATAAAAATAGATATTAAGTAGGTGAAATTTAATGTGGCATGGTAAACATGACCGTACAAGTAATAGGATGGAGAGCATCAATCAAGGTCTCTCCGAATAATGATGTGCAGAGAGAACTCAACTCTTTTTATTATCAACTTTCTTTGCTAGATGTATGAATTAGTTTAGTCAACATGTTTATTTCTCCGCGAACATTTCTTGGTAGTGCTAAGCATACGAATATATGAACATGTCAATCTTTTTTCCAAGCCAAAATTGCTTGGAGACTTCGTAATCTAGATAGTTTCAAAGTATTGTTGCAATCGTTATGCTATTTCCCATACTTCCATGTTAACCCTATGGTTTCATCCTCGTAATACTTAATGAAGTAGTACCATTCTAATGATCACTCTTAACCAAAAGGTAATCAAAAAGTGTCTACAATAGTGAGTCGTCATTTGGAACTAGTGTATGTTCGTTTCATTAGAGAGAGATAGGGTGCTTGATTTTAGGGCCAATATAAAAAGTCGTTATTTATCAATATCAAAAGCATTTAACATAAAAAATTCCCAGGATAATATACGCAGCGGGCTCTTTTCATTTAGGCTGATGCATTATAGTATGCGATATTCCACCATGACCACTTCGTACATAAATAGAAATTAAAAGAAGGAAGGGATCCACTTCGCTATACTAGCACACAGCTGCCACCTCTGCCTGCTACTACTACTGCAGTATACTATTCTGGACATTATTTTATTCTGAATTAGATAATATGTCAGCATCCATAACCATTTTTTTCTCATATTCCTTCATGACCCGCTTGTCCGGTGCCTTTGACATTACCCCCCGTCAAGCGCTCACAATGTACAAGCCTCACATTCCAATCTCACGTGGAGTGAGTGAGGCTCTCATCATCAACGAACGACAGAGATTAATAAACAACAACGGATATGGTCAAAACGAGCTGGTTATGTACCTTCCTGAAAAGCTGGAAAGTTGACTATCACAGCATTTAGATCTTGACTTTTGCAGTCAGTGTCTGATCCTCACCCTCTCTCTCACAAGAGCTTGAGTTGAAGGACGATGAATTGGTCAGGACTGTCCCAGAGCTGGCGAGGCGAGACCACACTTGCAGCTCTTGCGGATACCTGAAGAAGCTCCACTCGATGCTTCGGAGGGAGATCCGGGGGTTCATCTCGCATTCGAAGCTCGAGTGATCGTCTTCCTGTCCATATGACGAGCTGAATTCATGCTGTAATCATTCCAACGGATGAGAGACTAAAGGAACATAAAATCAGATTGTCTGAGTGAGTCACCGCAAGAGCTGAAGAACGATGAGAGCTCGTTCGATGCGCGCGAGCCGGAAACTGCCATACCATCATGATTAAATGTCCAATTTGTGATAATGACGATCGAATCAGGCTCATTGCACCCGGATGATGATGAAGAAAGGCCGGATGGAGCATTCGGTGGATAAAAGGAGCGCATCGATTTGATTATCCCTTGATCTGAACACATCTATACACTCATGTACAGACCTCTGAAATACGTCCATCAGCCGTCGTGGAATGGGAATGGGATCGTACCCACACAGAAGAGCAGATTTTAGACAGCATTTGGTTTTATTTTACACTGCGCTCTTTCTCAGGACATTGAGACTGAATGGACGTCCAGCTCTCACGCGAGTCCAGGCGGAAGATGGGCAAGATATGAAGCAGAACCCGGTGCAAGGTTCGAACTTCGAACTCCTTCACATGTGCTGTATTATTACATTCATGAAGGCTGGAGAGGTACGGGCCTCGTTCGGGGGCATGGAAACGGTGCGAACGGTTCACGTGCATGGCAGCGATCGAGAGAAATAATTGCGACTTGACCGAAAGCTCTTTCTTCCTCATGGTCGAAGCCAAGTCTCCGATGTTCTCCGTAGTCGTAGGTCGAATCTCTTCAGAACTCCTCGACAAGCTGAGACGCCGCGTGAGGTACGATGCTGCAAGCTTTCCAATCAACCCCTTCGTCTTCCGATCCTGCATTGAAACGAACGAATTCATCGAGTCCATCGGAACCAGTGGCCGTGGGATGCATAGAATTGTTTCTAACGTAGCGCACAAGAGCCAGTCCCTCGCATCTCTCGACCTCCGTCGTCAGAAGGTCCGCCTCGACGAAAGCAACTGATGTCCATTGCGACTGGTGAATTTTCCGAACGAGAGGATTTAATCGGCCGAATTTTGATTCGAAAGAATTCTTCGATGGCAACGGATCTTCGATTCGCACAGAATCGAATCGAAGATACGTTGCCATCGGAGAATTCTTTCGGATCAAATGAATGAATCGGCGCAGTGAGCCGAGTGAGAATCGAGAATCTGGACACGATTTGAGCCCACGAGGGTACTGACACAGCGTTGCAATCTGCTGGCTGCTGCTCAGACTGGCGTGAGCGGAATGACCGTTGGCCGGGGGCAAGCGGAAGGGAATGGCGTCGTCCAAAGGGTCGTCGTCGGGGCCGAGCACGGGTGCGGAGACCGGGTCCAGGGCGTCGCTGAAGGGAGGAGCCGCAGCCCCCGCGGGCGTGCCGAGGGCGTCGTTGCTGAAAGGAGGAGCCCCGGCGGCTCCGGGGGCTGGGGCTGGGGCTGGGGCTACGGCGGCGGCTCCCGAAGCCCCGCCCGAGCCCCCCGCGGGCCCGACTCCTGAGGTTTCTTCGCCCTCTGCTCTGCTCGTTCAATCGGTTCTCTCGTGCCCAATCTTTGCTTCGCTAGGCTCTTTGTCTTGGCATGCTCGATGGACTGCTGCTGAATTTGACGGCCCCCGAGGTTTCTTCTAGACTTGCCCCTGATTCTGCTGCAACGCTGCCCATTCTGCGTGCATGCACTCCCCCCACCACCCGACCTCTCCACAGGCGTTCCTACCGTGGAATCAGATCGTGTACAAGAAGCCCAGGATCGGTTGGCAGCCGAGGGAATTCTGGTTTGACGTGCACGAAGAGGTATTTAAAGGATCGCTTGTGCTCAAATCCGATTTCCTTTTGTGGTCAGAGCCCACCATGCCCTGCCGTGCTATGCTGTGCTATGCCGTCCGTTCAATGTCTAGGATCTGGACTTGTTTCAGCTGCCGCCAGTGTCGGATCGTGGCTCCTGCAAGAGATTTCTCTCGACATCCTCTCTCTCGGCAGATGCAGCACGTTTTGTAGCGGGCCAGCTATGGAGTTCCGGTTGCAGTTTGAATTCCACAACGAGGGAGTCGTGTACTTCAGAGCACTAGAATTCAATGTTCAGTGCAGGTTCTGACAATACCAGCATTAGCTCTTGCCGCGAAGGCAGACATCTGCATGCGAGGAGTGTTAGGGACTGGACGAGGCCGATATGACGTGTAGAAATGACCGACTGTCAATTTGAACATCTCAGCCGATGATGATGATGAAGATGCTGACAACGAAAGCCAATCTCAGCAGATGATCCTTTCGCAATAGTTCAAGAGAGGAAATAGAAACATTCGTGGACGAGCTTCTATGCTAGTAATAAATTAGAGGCGAACGAGAGAGACACTGCAGTGCAGCTCTAGGCATCGTTGATAATGCTCACAAAAAACGCAATTGGAACGCAGGTCCAGAATCATGGGATCGTTCTGTCATCTGCAAAGCAATGGGATACGATTTGCAAGTCACTATCATAGAGAGGATGTCTGCATCCTAAGGCTCTTGATGTTCGAGTCCCTCTTGTGATTACACGCTTCTGCTTCACAATTACGATGGGCGCAACTGGTATTTCAATTGTGGCTCTTGCTTCGCAGGAACTGGAAGCAGCTAGAATCGCTGAAGAGGAGGCGGCAAGGCTCGAGCTGAAAGCAGCTCCGATTCGGGAATATCTGGTACGTGGTACTATGCCTCAGGGTAGTCCCCAGTTCCTACACTTCCTTTGATTGACGACTGCCTACTCAGATCTTTCCACTGAGCCATCCATATTAGACTGTTATTACGAGGCTTTCCAGCTCGTGACGAACGTAATAATAAAAATGAAATTGCTCGGCACGAAAAATTTAAATCAAACTTCACAAGAGAAACCAAGGAATAGAAACAAGAGCTAACTTGCAATTCTATGCTGGCAATATTTTTGAAATGATTGGAAAGTAAAGCATTCGATATCTGAATCAAAACCTCCAGCCATAGAGCATATTACTATCTATATTGACTCGCCTGAAGTGATTGCTGTGCTGTATTAAGAGCTCCCAAGTGACATCTGTGTAGAAGTGAATGCACCCTGAACCGAGTGCATTCGCCGTTTCTGAGTCTCGAGCTGAAGAATCCCAGAGATACTAATCTGCTTCTGTGCTGCAGGATTCGACAGTCGTTCCATTGCTGCTGAAAGGCTTGCAGATCCTGGCCGTTGAGAGGTACGGCCAGATCACCAATCACCTTCCTTCCAAATTAATAACTCGCCACGACTCTGAAAACTGCACTGAAGAATGTCTCACCAGATTCACCTTCGCTGCATTCTTCTCGTAGGGAGATCGAAAGATCAGAACGGCCTGCCAAATTCACGGCCAGGCCACGGAAACTCGCTCCATGCTCACGCTGCTCTGATCGTTTCTCATCGCAATATTCTAATCTCATCGCTGCACACACAATCTTTGGGCCATCTGGAATATTAGTACTCTGCAAAATCTGCATCAGAGTTTAGAATGCACTTCCTGCAGCGCTAGGATGCATTCGAACCTCGATGACCGATTGTGGTCATCGAGGTCTGACGCACACTCCCTGAATCACAGAAGAGTCGTCAAATGTTAATGCTAATGCGTAGGTCGATTTGTCCGGCGAGGTGCTCGAACAGGCCGGAAAATCCAGTGGACTATCTTGCGCAATATTTGATACTGAAGAATCCGCAGCCCCTGCCTCCTCCCGTGGAGGAGGTGCAGGTGGAAGACGTTACGGACGAGATCCTGTGGCGCGACTTGGAGGCAGAGCTGCTGCCGCCTCCTCCGCCGCCGGCGAGAGCCGCCAGCTTCAGGCCTGCGACCGCAGGGGCGCCAGCTCCTGCCGCCGCGACGAGAGCGGCAAGCGTCAGGCCGGTCGCGGCAGATCCAGCCCCGTCCGCGACGAGAGCTGCAAGCGTCAGGCCGTTCGCGGCAGATCCAGCCCCGGCCGCGACGCGAGCTGCAAGCGTCAGGCCGGTCGCGGCAGATCCGATCCCGGTCGCGACGAGAGCGGCAAGCGTAAGGCCGGTCGCGGCAGATCCAGCCCCCCCGCCGGGGGCTGCGACTCGAGCCCCGAGCATGAAGCCCGCGGCTCCGATGAGGGCTGCCAGCGTGAAGCCCGCGGGCGAGGCCCCGGCAGCAGCCCCTGCCGCGACCCGAGCCGCCAGCGTGAAGCCCGCTGCCGACGCTGTTCTGGGTGCCGCTGCGAGTCGCGCGGCCAGCATCAAACCTGCGACCCCCGCCCCTCCTGCGGCAACCAGAGCTGCCAGCGTTAAACCTGCGGCTGCTTGACCACGCCTCCGTCCTATTTGATGACGTTTTGCTCGAAGGGCCAATGAAAAGTATTCCCAACTGGGAGGGCTAAAATCTTGAAACACAATTTAGAAACAGTTCACTTAGAATTTGCTCTAAGAGAAATACATCATAAAGAACTTACCCATTATACTGTGCATCATTTGAATTGGTTGCAAGTATTAAATGAAAATTTCTCTATTAGTTTACAAAAATGCAATTCAATGATTTCATAGAATATGTTTGTCTACTCGAATATTGTTGCATATATTTTGAAATTCTTACTTTTTCGTTTGGAACAAACACAAATTTGTTACCTAGCTGACTATTAAATGGATGGAAAACACTCTTACAATTGAATGTGATTTGAATTTGAAAACATTTAGGACTTTAAGCAATCCAACTGAAGATCATCCATGTCTTGTTTACACAAGTAAAAAATAGTTGAATAATATTATATTATTCATTATATTATATATTAAAAATGTATCCAAAAATTCCTCTCTTACAAAAGTTATTATGGGTTAAAAACCGATGAATCATATTATAAATATGAGATGATATATATATATATATATATATACGGTAAAAAATCATGGTTCATACACATATATCCTGAGTACTATCCGTTTCTCATGAAATTAAATTTGACCCTGTGTCTTTATATTTATATTCGTCCAATGTATGAATTTAGATATGTGCTAAAGAATTTTTGTATTAAGTCTATTATATTGAATGGAAAGACTTCTACACAATCAATATCCCTAAATATTGTAATGTGGTATGGAAAATTAACTTGAAATAATTTTATTTAATTCATAAAAAAATTCTATTTCAATTTCACATGAAAAATAAATCAATTATAAAAATATTTTGTTGTATGATGATACATAAGATTGATGGAATTTTTTTAAAACGTTATATTTTATTTCATTAAAATATTAGACAATTATCTAAGACTCATACAAACAATAAAACACAATTGACAGTAAAACACAACGTGGATATATCATTGTGTTCGCTTTACGTTGCATTGTAATAAATCCATGGCCAAATACATGCAACTATATATTGAAACTAATCTAGTGGTATAAAAGTTATTGGAGTTAAATATCACATGTTCATACAGTTATAAGCTAAGTTTAACTAGCTAGAGGTTACTCAAAAAAGGAGTGAAACTCATAATTCTTTCCCTTAACTGAATTTGATGGTACAATAATATAAAGAGATAACTCAAAATTGTAGCTAGCAAATGTTTTTGCTAATACTCTTGCAAAACCTGCATAGTAGCACAATGTCTCATGAAACTCTTCAAAAGAATAACTTTGATCAACACATCAACTAGATTGAGTTTACTCTCTATCTTGACAAGCTCAATACTTTTATCAAAAACTCTTTATCTGATAAAATGATACATGAAATCGACATGCTTCACTTTTCTGTCCATAACCTGATTCGCATCCAAATGTAGATCATTCTGGCTATGAAAGTTGACCATGCCTTATTTCAATCCCATCTCTATGATAAGTTTGTCTAATGGAGTAGTTTTCTTCGTTGCTTCTGGCGCCACATATTCAACTTCTTGTGTAGATTGAGCTATGCACTTCGGCAAGATAAATCTCCAATTAATGCTTTCATCACTAAATCTAAACGTGTACCTAATTGTATATCTACTTTTGTCCAGCTCTTGTACGTAGTCAGTATCAACGTAGCCCAACAAGGATTTGACATTGTACAATAAACCATCAAACAATAAACCATAATCCATAATACTCTTCAAATATATGAGAATACATTTCACTACTTTTCAATGAATCTTTGCTGGATTTGACATGTTCATGCTCACCTTGCCATCACTAGAGCAATATAAGACCTCATGCATACTATCAAATACATAAAATTGTCCACATCTTGTTCATAGGGAACACATGACATTCTTTCTTTCTTAATGACATTGAACTGCAAAAAGTTGGAAATATGTTGCAAAAGAAACCCACACTACTTTGAAATCAACCATGTTGAACTTGTTAAATATACAATAAATATATTTATCTTGACTCAATCATAGAATCTTCTTTTCAAAATTACTATAAATATGCATGTATAATATTCTTTTTGACTTTCCCTTATTCTTCGTCTTAAATTAGACATCAACTTGCTCTTGCATTTATCAACTTTGTATTGGTTTGCCAAGATGAACATATCATTTTTGTAAAGTACTATAAAAATGAGATTGAAAATCTCATCATTCATCTTCTTCATGTCGACACAAGTATCATACACACTCCGTTAAAACCTTTGTGTCTTCATGAACTCATCAAAACGCATGTTCCATTACATATGAGCTTGTTGCAATACATATAATGATTTGAGCAATCTACAAACCAACCTATTGTGAACTTTCACCTCAAAGTCAACTGATTGTCTCATGTAGATCTCATACTTTAAGTATCTAGAGAGAAAAGCTATAATCACGTTCATATAATCCATAACGAAACTAAATATTGCAGTCAATCACATACCATACAAATTGTAGTATACTTTGCTATAAGTGAGAAAACTTTATTGTAATCCATAACTATATTATGTGTGAAACCTTTTAGCCAACTTGCTTTTGAAGATTTTTGTATTGTCATTTGCTGAAATGTCCCTCAACTTGTACATCCACTTCAAATCAATCAACTCATGATCTTTAGAAACCTCAATTAGCTTTCAAGTCTTGTTATCAATCAACGACTGCATTTCACGCTTCATAGCAGCAATCCACTCAGACTTATTGACCAAAGTTTGAGCTTCTCATTCTCTCTATCAATGTCACAATCTTCGATATGGTTGAGTTTAATCATCATATTCATTAAAAAATTTTAAAAAGGCGAGTAGAATGCTTAAATCTAAAATAACGATATATTTAAAGGATTAGGAAATGATGTTATGGTGTTCATAACAAGTAGAATTTTTTTTATATATAATAATGAAATGAATAGAAAAGTACAAGTATCATATCTGCCTTCATAATAAGCAAGTTACATCTTTTGTAGTCTACGACTATGTGATACATCTCGAACTGAATTAAAATTTTGTGACATAAATTTCAAAGTTGATGCTTGAAAGTTTTATAAAAGCAAAACAGTCGATTGATGCAAACTTCAATTATAGTAATCATTTTCAATAAATACCAAGACTAAATTTAAACAAAGAATATTTAACGTTTGCAAACTTAAAAACTAGTGTAAAAATTTATCACGTGACTTATAAATAAGTAATATTTATTTTTTGTCAACGAATATCTCTAATTTTTTATGATGTGGTAAGATGTAAGTCTAATAACGCTGTAGAGTGCTGACTTGAGAAGTTACTGTGGATGATGGCAAATAACGAGTTGATACGCCAACAATTTTACTGCAGGGCGATGCTATTCACTTCAATTGTACTTCGGGATTAATTATGTGATTAGGCACCATTCTTCAATTGATACGTAATTCTACGAGTAACGTGGGACTAGGGTTGGAGGCACAACCAAAAAGGCATGCCTCATTTACATTTTTTATATGGGGCATGACCGTATGTACGTACGTACATATATATGATTTATAGGTATGTACATACGTATAAATCATATATATAACATCAGAATATACGCATATTCCCATTTTACAGTTAGTGGAGTAAATGAACTGATCAAAGGTTTGGTTGCTTACGTCCGCGTTCCAACTACTTTGACAAAGTTTGCGCAGAAATCCATTTGAACACAACTCTGTAAATTTTTGTTCCAAAGAAATGATTGATTTTGCTTCTTAGGTCAGGATCATTTTCATGAACGTAGACTTGCGTCAACTTCAATTGTGTTTCTTCAAAGTGTGTAATTTGATTCTAAGGGTTTAGTTTAGCCTGAGTTTCTAAAATTTTCAGAAAACAAACTAGTGCAATTACGGGATGTCAAAAAACACACTGATTGATACCATGTTGCTTGTAACAGAGAACTTTTGGACAGTGCTGCTGGATTGTGCTACTGGATTACTGCTAGACAACCTCGTGGAAAAATTACTGCACATAATTCAATGTCACATTGACAAGATTCTTAGTTCTTGAATATGCTGGTGAGTGCTCTTCATGCAAAGTCTTTACAAATGCTTTTCGAGTAAGTTCAGTCGTCTCTGCTGACTCCAATCTAGTGTTGTTATGTCGAGCGCTCCTTGTTACTTATTATGTGTTCATCAACTATATGTTCGACTATAACTTCATCAGTCTGAACTTTTAGTATCAATCTCTTTATCGTCTTGCTTTTGCTGTTCTTAGCTGGTGTTTTAACTTGCAGGTGTTCTAACCGGCATCCACGCAGATCTTTTTACCTTTCTTAATTTTTGCGAACGCGCAGTATGAATTGTTCTTACTGTGAATTTTATCGTTGGGAGACGTGTCCAACAAGTACTAACCCTAAGACTACACTCTACGTAAAAAAACTTGAGGAAGAAACAAACCTTCATGTCCTCGGATTTCTTCTGATTTTTGCTCTAAGAAAATCTCAATCCATTTATGTTTTGCTTGCGGCATGGCCTCTTCGGACTCTGGTGCTGGAATTAGATGCATCAATCAGTTAGCGGGGTATACAGTTGAAGTAGGCATGATCAAGGAGCCGGGTAGGCGATACAACCGGCATGATATTACAATCTCTTTTGTATTATCAATTATGTTTTGTTTGGTTTGGAGCAATTTAGTCTGAGAAAGGCGCAAAGCTAGCTCGGGGTATCGCTGTTGCTCTAAAGTATGAGAAAGTGAAGGAAAATGTTTATCTCATGTTTATGAGAAAGCATAGAATACCAGAAATATCAAGTTGAACGACGCAGTTGAGAACAGCTCTCTCCAAGTGCAAACGAAGCTACGATAGTCGCTTAAATCATTTCCTCCCATTATTTATCAGTCGCAATTAATATGTAGACCGCCTTACTGAACTGTGATAGACCTGCCCATGGCTTGAATAGCTGATTATCACAGAGTAGTATTACACTGCCGTTTGACTGAAACTTTTCTCTAGCCGAATTGATATTCAGGGAGACGCTTATTTCCATAATCATTCCATTTTGTGCTATAGTTTTGAGTGATTTTTAGATGCTCTCGCTGGTAAATGCATTTCCAGCCGCTACATTTATATTTAGATGATTTTGATAACAAAGAGAATAGGCGGGGAACTAATCGAAGG